AAGCAGCCCAAGTCACAACGAATTGTAGGCTTGCGCGTTATGCATTACTTAGCAAGACAGTAGTTTCGCGTGTTATGTGTTAAAAGTGTATCGTAAAGACAGTTTTGTGGTCTCTATTATGAGCGCACATGAGGTGCATCCGACTTATGCATCGTGGTGCCATGAAGTCCAAACCTCGAGCTGCATGTTCACGTACACCGTTGTTGCAGCGCTGTTTACTTCCGCGCTCGTCACTTGGTAGCCGAATCTGTTCTGCACCCTGCCTAACCACTCCCGGCACCGGTGCCGGTAATGAACACCCCCCCCCCCCCGCCCCTCGAGCGGCGTCCGCGGCTGACTAGCGGGCCTCAGGGCGTGTGTTGATTGCCAGCTGGCCCCTGAGCCGAGCCGCCAGTGTAAACTGTGATTCACCCGGTAAACACGCCGGCTTCAGTGCGTTTATATGTCTGTTGTCTGTCGGCAGTGTGCGGCAGGCAGTAGCCACTGTCGCTGTGGGGCTGGACGGCTAGATATGTACATAACTCTGCGGTTTGAGCGTTACAGGATGTCATTTGTCCAGTGCTGTTGTTTTTGCTGCGAGCTGTTTTCTGCAGCTTGCTAAGTAAAGCACCCATAATGAACGCTGTTTGGGGGCGTAGCCAGTGCGTCCAAACCGTGTTGTAATAATAAGAAGATCAAGCACAATAATCTGCCTACCAGCGCACAGCGGCTTTTGTTTTTGTTTTTTTGTTTCTGGTTGATCAATGTCACCTGCCACAGAATTTCGCCCTTTGCGGCGGTAAACTCTCATATTCAGAGCCTGCTTGCGGCTGAGCGGATAACGTTCCCCAGCATTTACAACATCCGTTACATTCACTGATGAGGGGACACCTGGCTCAGGCAGGTGGCTCAGGCAGGGGTGCCTACAGTATACGCCCACGGCGCTTGATCATGCACGCTACGTGTCTCTTCGCTTATGCAGTCACGCATGCATGAATGCAGACGGCAGTGCCGGCCTGGGTGAAGCCCATCTTAGATGGGCTAAGCCAAACGGTAGATTGACCGCGTGCGCACCCCCGCATGAAGAAGTCGGGTAACCTTCCAAAGCGCACCAGATCTGTTTTGAAAGTGAGAGTTTCAATAATAAACCAGCGACGTATCCAACTTTGATAAACTCAGGCAAGTGTGGCATGTCACTCTCTCCTAAGTGCCGATGCTCGTACTCCCTGATCTCACCACCCCTTGTTAGCACCCGTACCTCCGACCTCTCGCGTCTCTTACACGTCTCTTACACCTCTATGTCCACATCCTGGTGTCCGAGGCCAAAGCTTTCTGAAAGGGCGGGAAGTGCTGAAGTCTACTGGACGTGATAGCCTGGCACGGTTCACCTCGGTAGCGCGTCTGTCCCGCATTCCGTCCCTGCAGTCGGTCTGCCGTGCAGTCCGTCCCTGTAGTCGGCCTGTCGTGCAGTCCGTCCCTGCAGTCGGTCTGCCGTGCAGTCCGTCCCTGTATTCGGTCTGCCATGCAGTCCGTCCCTGCAGTCGGCCTGTCGCGCAGTCCGTCACTGCAGTCGGCCTGTCGTGCAGTCCGTCCTGCAGCGGGTCTGCCGTGCAGTCCGTCTGTGTAGTCGGTCCGTCGTGCAGTCCACTCCTGCAGTGGCGGCAAGCCATGCGGAGTCTGCACGGACTGCAGCTGCCGCTGCGGGGCACCGGTCCGATGTTGACGGATCGGGACAGGGCGAGACACGCCGTCGGCGGCTGGGAGGTCTCACGCCCGAGCTAACGCCGTTTGCACAGCGCAGTGGCGCGCCCAGGGCCACGAAATGAGGGGCCGACACCGTTGGCGTGGAAAAATGTGTTCAGCGGGTCCGTTTTGCTACGGTTTTTCTTTGCATGATATCGCTAAACTATGTTGAAAGGCGCAAAATGAACAAGTAAATTGCAATTCCGACAACATTTTGTTTAGCTTCGTAACTTACTGCATGATTTCAGGGCAGCTTATGCTGCCACTGACTAAAGCATGCATGCAACGGCCCAATACGCCGTTTGCCTTAATACGGCTTTATGGCCCTGCAGTCCTGAAAGGTTCATGGGTGGGATCACACTTGCCTGCGTGCGCCACTGTTCGATCCGGTGCGCTCCAAACAGAAGCGGGCCTTTGTTCCCACTGAGACATGGATGGGAAGAGCACGCGCCCTGCCACGTGCGCGTGGTCGCCATCTGGTCACGCGAACGTCACGCAGACCGTGTCAGACGGCGTCAGAGCCGGCACTGCCCCGACACGCATCGGGCAGCGACATCGCTGTTGCCGTTCGCTGACAGAGCTGGAGCTGGCGTCAGCTGACTGGCTCAGTATGATCGGGTGACGGGCGGCTTTTAGACAAACTGACTACATTTTGCTGGATCAGCTGGTTAGGATCTTCTTGAGCATCTGACTGCGCTCTGACCGATCAGCTGATCGCGTCCTGCTAAATGCATGACTGGTCTATTTCGCGCCAGCTGCATGGCTTCCTCAGACCAGGCGATCGGCCGGCTCTGGGCCCGCTGATTGACCTCCCGCAGACGAGCTCACCGACTGCGTCGCGTCATCCACTCTCCAGACCAGCCGATCCCAGACTCTGACGTCACGCTTGAGTCAGCTGACCGTCTCGATTCCCGTTGTCAGCTGACGAGCCGCGTTGTGAAGTGCTGGAGACCGGGCAGCACTGGCGAGCAACCTTGCGCTCGGAGCAGCCGCGACTCTGCCGCTCTCTCCGAGGTCGGCCATGTTTAAGGGGATCCGATCACGTGCCCGACGGCGCGCGATCGGCGTGAGTCACATGCCTCGCCGCGGCCAGTCGGCCTGTTTTGGGCCTTCCCGGCGTGTGCGCCTGCCGGTATTGATGTTCCGCCTGAGGAGGTGGCCTATAAGGTGATGTGGCCAGTGCGCCGGCGTGGAACGTTTTCCGCGTTTGGATTTCAAACTCGCTGCACGGACGATCCAGTAAAATGCGGTGCCGTTGGAATCAAACCAATGCGATTCATCGTATGCTGCGGGCGTTGTTTGGTCGCGCCCATGCGCTTTCAACAGCGGGCTGCCCGCTAATCTATTGTCTGCTCTCCCGGTCCTTTTCTTCGAGCTCGTTGTTCTGCGTCGTGGCTGATGACGCTGGTCTTGCAACTGGCGCAGGTGGTGGCGTTTGGCGCCTGTTTGGCTGGTGGCGTCTCTTCTATGCACAACCAGGGCTCTGTCTGGTACACACGCTTGCTACCTACATGCTTGATGGCGCTGTTCACACCGCCCTGAACCGCCACCGGTCGTGACGGACGTTCTTTGATCACGACCCGAGCACAGTGGTGCGTTGATCTCCCAGCGCTGTGGGCTGGTGATCTGTCGGTAACAGTGTGCTAGATGAGACACTGGCTACGGTCAGCTCGCCACATCTGTAGGTCTGACCCAGAATAGCGATGACAGTCATACGCCGTCCATGGCCACAGAGGCCCGTCACCCGACCGCACCATACCCACGGCCACAGAGGCCCGTCACCCGACCGCACCATACCCATGGCCGGAGAGCCCGCCACCCGACCGCACCATACCCATGGCCAGAGAGCCCGCCAGCCGACCGCACCATACCCATGGTCACAGAGGCCCGTCACCCGACCGCACCATACCCATGGCCAAAGAGCCCGCCACCCGACAGCACCATACCCATGGCCAGAGAGGCCCGCCACCCGACCGCACAATACCCATGGCCAGAGAGCCCGCCACCCAACCGTACCATACCCATGGCCAGAGAGGCCCGCCACCCGACCGCACCACACCCATGGCCAGAGAGCCCGCCACCCGACCGAACCATACCCATGGCCAGAGAGCCCGCCACCCGACCGCACCATACCCATGGCCACAGAGGTCCGCCAGCCGACCGCACCATACCCATGGCCAGAGAGCCCGCCAGCCGACCGCACCATACCCATGGCCACAGAGGTCCACCAGCCGACCGCACCATACCCATGGCCAGAGAGCCCGCCACCCGACCGCACCATACCCATGGTCACAGAGGCCCGCCAGCCGACCGCACCATACCCATGGCCAGAGAGCCCGCCACCCGACCGTACCGTACCCATGGCCGGAGAGCCTGCCACCCGACCGCACCATACCCATGACCACAGAGGTCCGCCAGCCGATCGCACCATACCCATGGCCACAGAGGCCCGCCAGCCGACCGCACCATACCCATGGCCACAGAGGCCCGCCAGCCGACCGCACCATACCCATGGCCACAGAGGCCCGCCAGCTGACCACACCATACCCTTGACTAAGAATAATGGACCGCCGGGAGCGACCACACCATTTTCGCGAATGCCGGGGCCCGTAGACTTCCCAAAATGCCTGCGAGAAGTAAATCTACCTTGCGAATGGTCGCCTTCCATACGTCTCCATTGGTTTAACGTTAATCTTGCGCGAGAAGCGCGGCATGACACCCTCGTCCCTCGTTCTGACGCCTGTAAGTGGACGTGTATCAACTGAATCATAAATAGTCTGCACTATTCGAGTCATTTCAGCATTCGTGTCCATGTCACCGAACATTACTACTAGCACATACTGTATGTTGAAGTTGATATAACTCCTGCCCTGCTTTGTCACCTAGATTATATCACCTTGGTGCCTTCGAGAAGATTAAACAAATAACGGCGTAGCCGCTGGATGTTAACACTGGCAGTTCTAGGAAAATCATTGTGTTGACTTTTCACGTCTGAGCTCACCGCAGTTTCTCAGACCAGCCGGCGTGGGGGGACCCTTTGTGACCTCAGCAGCAGGTGATTGTGCGTGGTTTCGATTGGCTGCACCGATCCGTGGCAGACACGCGGAGTATGGTCGCACTCGTAGACTCAATCAGCTTGCAAAATGCAACTCCCCGCCCTTTCACCTCCCCCCCCCCTCCCCCCCCCCCCCCGCCGCCCCTGTCTATCTGGGCGTCCGTCGACACTAACCTCGGCTGATCCCGGCTGATCTCGACTAACCTCTGACCTCCGTCGGCAGATCAGAGGCAGCTGGAGACAGCGCGGAAGGCGGGCAATCTGACCGAGACGTTTGTCCACCTGGGGCTGTATGATTGGTCCACACTGGTGCATCACCACCTGGGCTACGCCATCTTGGCTGGCGTCGGCATCGTGCTGGCGCTTCTCACTCCCTTCATCGGTGAGTGTGCCGGCACTGTCACTTCACCAGCCCCGTGTCGGTGTTGTGCTGGTACTGCTCACGTCCCTTCTTGTTGGATTGTAACGTCAGTGAACTTGAGCCTTGCACGGCTGAACTCTTCAAGGACCGCCGAATGCGTGCACGCCTGGCCTGGAACGCGTTTTGCGTTCATACTTGGACTTTGCTGACCACTGTGTGACCCCAGTTTGTGATACCATCGTCATCTCATCGTTGTTAGTTTAAACTTTTGATAACGATTTTAAGAAATGCGTAAACTGAGATGCAAGTTATGCTGCGGATCTCATCGCTAGCCTTTGCCGCTGCTCAGGTTACAATTTTGTGTGGATTACCGTGACCTTGTGTAACCTCCACTGCGGGTCTGGTCATCTGTTGTCGTCGCTGTTCACAATTGTGTCGGCTGCCGTGACCTTTCGTGACTTTTGTCGCAGGCCTCATTGTCTGCTGCTGCCGCTGCTCCGGGAAGTGTGGGGGCCGGGTGGAGCCTTATGATAAGAGAAAAGACACGTGCAGGCGCTGGTGCAACGGCATCTTCCTCAGTCTTTTAGTCCTGCTGATTTTGTGAGTCGTGAAAATGATCGTCGCCAGTCTACTTTGGCCTTTTACTTGCCCCTTTTAGGAGTTGCCTGTTGGACGAGTCGTTCTGTTTACGATAATTTTTTTTCTTCAAAAACGAGCACAACTGTATTGATGCTTCCAAACTAGGATAGTTTCATAGTGTTTCGATATTGCATGACAAGCGTGTCGACAAGCCGCACTCACATTATAAAGAATGGTTCTTTCCAGCCTGCTTGTAAGTCAAGGTGTGGGAACATGCCGTTATAAATCACGACGCCTTTTATTTTCTGACCCTGGAGCGTCCGGACTCCCGGGATTTGTTTACTCATCTCCAGCTTAGCCTCTTTCCATACATCTCATACATCACCTCATTGTCCGTCGTGCACCTTTTGGATCGCATGTCAAATGCAACAGTTACTTGATATTGTGTCGGTATCAGTGCCAAGGTGTAGCTTTCTATTCAGTTGCTAAAGGGATGCTCCAACCCCCCCCCCCCCCCCAACTGTGAAAAAATTGGTCAGATCCTGGGAAAACACGCTTTTCCGGCGTAGTCAGGGACAAGTCCAGCCATTTCTCCTGCTCAACTCCTCTTGCTCCCCGCCCCCTTCCACCCCCCCCCCCCCGCCCCCCCCACCCCCAGCTGGAATCGCATTGCTACGCCTCTTTTCAAGGCAATCTATGGCACGTTTGACGATGTTTCCGGTACGGCTAGCCGCGTGACGCTGATGTCCGGCGACAGGTTCGGCGTGGTCGGCTCGTTCGTGGTTAACGAGTACGTAGAGCGAGGCGTGACCGAGGTACCGCCGCGTCTGCACGTGGCCGTCAACGACTCCCAGCTCTACGTGCAGAACACCAAACTGGTGCGCGCAACCGCGGCCGGCTCGGTGCTGTGTCTGGGCCGTGGGAGTGGTGGCCAGGGGAGGCTGCACGCTTCCACCCGGCCGATGCTTACATTAGCCGTTTTATGGTGGTGGGTGGCGAGGAAAATTGTTACTGTCCACGCCCCAACACCTGGTCTTCGTGGAGCCTCTATATCGTGGGATCAAATAAGTATGCTGATACACATTATGTGCAAACCTTATGGTTATCTCTAGGCCTCTTCCATCACCTAATTATGCGAGTTCATATCATCTTGGGTATCGCAGGCCGAGCGAAGGACCATCTTGAAGTGGACGGATGCTTGCCTGGTCGGGTTCTCCCGTCCTTTATTGCTGAATGTGCCTGAGGGTGTGTGCCAATGTTCCATTTGAACCAGCAGCTGCCATGGGAATGTCTGTCCGTATGGCCACAGCAAACAAAGGTGGAGTTCAGTTAAAGAACCGGGACGCCTTGAGTAGTCAATGCTGCTTCCTTCAGTATCCTGAGTGTACTAAAAGGCCATTTGCATTTGCAAGGTCCTTGCACGCGAAGTACCACATTTGTCGCGAACATGTTGGTCGGTTTCACTAGCGTCAGGAGACGTTCCGAAAAGCGGCGCTGCGTAGTTTCTGGAAACAGCGACGGGAAGGTTCTTGATAAGTGCTTCGGCTCGTGCCACTTTTGCTCTTAACACGGAGGCAGGACGCCGTGGGATGGCGTTAGACTGCATAACGCTTTTGACGGCTGACCCTCAAAATAGAATGGCATCGGCGATGTACATCTTGCAGCAGCATAGACGCCACTGGGGATCATTTTCGAAAAAAAGTTTGATGCCAGGTCTCTACGATGTTTCTGTTAACATGCGCAACGTTTATGTGGGAGCCACGCCCTGTATCATCGACGATACACCATGAGGTCAGCTTATGTCGCTGCCAACTAAGCATACCTTCGTGTGTGCTCACCACTCCGTCTTTAGCGTCCCGTGAAATACCGCCATTTGTGCCAGCTCGCGAACGACGCCGTGCTCGGGTGTGAACTCCTTGGATCGGTCCAAGAACGGCGCTGGTACCGGTTATGGTGATGATGCGTAGTGCAGTGTTCGTGCCACAAACGGTGTCGGACATTGTTAAGAGCCTTCGCCTCTCTGTATGCCTTAAGTGTCGTAAAGGAAGACTGATGCTTGTAGGTGTCACATCGTACTTTACTGCATACGTAGTCAAGCGAATTCTTGATATGGCCTACTGGCCGGTCTCTGAGCTCAGTGGGAGTTCTCCGGCTCCATACGCTGTAACCGAATCAATTTTTGAGGCCCGTGAACGAGGACCTTGTGAGACTCTCTTGATGCCTGTTTTCGTTTGCTTGAGCGCGAGACCCAATGGAACTAATGTGCCCAATGCACGGCACGAGAGCGAGTCACGCAAGCCCTTCTTATAAGCCTTCGTGTCGAGTCAACTATCGGATCGTGAAAATAGTTGCAGGCTGGCAGCCCCGGTTTGACTGAACTTGGACGCGTTGATAGGCTCGATAGCGCCGAGCAGTTGTATATTGTTCCTGGTCGGTGGGCGGCGCCGGCGGCCGCGTTTGTTTAGCGGGTATACACGAGCTGCCTGGCGGGGTTTAATTGTTGTTCTTGCGCCTCTGACAGGAGGTCAACCACCTGCTGAAAAACAACTACATGGAGTTGACGGAGGTGCTGGACGAGTCTTTAGAGGGTGAGTGTCGACGGCGAGACAGCGGTCGTCCATCCCCTGGGATGCCCGGCACCGGGTGTGGATCGCACTGAGCTGTGGACAGAGATTGACAACTGCCAGACTCTATCGCGGCCGCGTCTGGTTCCATCATGATAATTGGTATGTTTATGGTGTTGCAATGGCTGTGACGCTTCTGCATGTTCATGTGTCGCTTGCTTGGGATATTTTATGATAAGCCTGTCTCACAAGAGGACGAAAGTCTTCGGATCATCTATTCAAGCCCATCCGTTATTGTCTTACGTTACTAGCATGTCGATTCTGGGTCATGACGAAACCAGCTTGACAGGCGTCTCAATGTATGTGTCCGGATATTAGGCTGCTGCGTGCAAACATATACTCCAAGAGAAATCAGAGCAAAGAAAAGGATGACCTTGACCTGATGGGATTTTACCTAACCAAATCCAAACTGAGCACTCGTCCAACTCATCAGTTCCTTACCATTCCATTCATCATTCTCACAATCTAACTCAACGGCGAATAGTCAAACCAGCGAAGACTGTCTCCATTATGCTGGCCCTTATCTACACAGCATAATCAAGGCGATCCTTATCTTTTTTGACGGCTGCCCGGCGTGGAAGTAGCCCGTTATCGACGCCCTTGAACCTGCTGATGCGTGTATTGTTGTGTTCGCGGCGCGCGGTGGGCGTTAAACGGCGCGCCTGCACGACAAGCACAAGTCATGACCGGTTGACGTGCGGCCCCACCGTCCGCTTCTCGGGACGGCTGATTCATGACGCGCCGGATGAACTTGGGCGAAGCGCTATCGGCCGCACGCGTACCTGAGGAGTGCTAAGGGGGGGGGGGGGGGAGGGAATGTTGCCACAGATGCCGTGTGTATGTGTGCCTGCTGGAGTGTTTGAGTTGTGTGTATAATCCCATTTCCTCTTATTCCCGAATGCTATCAAGTTGAAGCCGAGCCGGTGCTAAATGAAATATTGTTGCCATCAGCGTGACGGCCTGTGCATCTGTCCCTGTACCTGACACATGTTATGGTGATCCATGTGACAGCCTGTGCATCTGTCCCTGTACCTGACACATGTTATGGTGATCCATGTGACAGCCTGTGCATCTGTCCCTGTGCCTGACACATGTTATGGGATCCATGTGACAGCCTGTGCATCTGTCCCTGTACCTGACACATGTTATGGTGATCCATGTGACAGCCTGTGCATCTGTCCCTGTACCTGACACATGTTATGGGATCCATGTGATTGCCAAGATGTTTGAGGCATGCAAAGAGGCGTGCATATATCCATGCATGCTTTTCCTGCATGGCGACCAGTCCGCTACCTACGAAGACAGCGGTGTCAGCTCGACGTAACGTTGCTACGGTCCTTACCCCACTCACAAAGGTACCAATGATTAACGTCTTGAGCACGGTTTCCAGCGCCTCCTCCCTCCCCTTTATGTAACAAAACATCCCCAAGGTCGGAGCGCCTCGGCACCCAGCTTGACCTCCCCTTCCCCAATCGACAGGGTGTGGAGACCGGATCAAGACCCAGCTGGCCACCATCTCCCGCGCCGTGGCCGTAGAGAACTTGACAGCGATCGCCGAGGGGCTCGGTGACATTCGACGTGACCTGACGGTAAGACTGACTCCTGGAGGGGGAACTCCGTCCTGGAGGGAGGGGTCGCTGTCATGGAGGGCGCTGAGGGGCTCGGTGACATTCGACGTGACCTGACGGTAAGACTGACTCCTGGAGAGGGAACTCCGTCCTGGAGGGAGGGGACGCCGTCCTGGAGGGCGCTGAGGGGCTCGGTGACATTCGACGTGACCTGACGGCAGGACTGACTCCTGGAGAGGGAACTCCGTCCTGGAGGGAGGGGACGCCGTCCTGGAGGGAGGGACGCCGTCCTGGAGGGAGGGGACGCCGTCCTGGAGGGAGGGGACGCTGTCCTGGAGGGAGGGGACGCCGTCCTGGAGGAAATGGGTGCGGTCCTGGAGGGAGTGGATGCCGTCATGGAGGAAATGGGTGCGGTCCTGGAGGGAGTGAATGCCGTCATGGAGAGAGCAGGAGGAGAGAGCAGGAGCCCCCCCCCCGTCATGGGTGGGGGGGGGGGGCATCCTGGAGGGAGGGATGCTGTCTTGGAGGGAGTTGATGCCGTCGTGAAAGGATAGAGTGCCGACCTGGACGGTGGGGATGCCGTCGTCTGGAGGTTCGGCCTCGTGCTCGTATGTATGTGGAAGGGGCAGATCACGTCATTGGAAATGTTTGGGCGTTACAGAGCAGACAATTTGTGTGCTGAAAGTGTCGATCATTGTGAAAGCTTGTGTATTCCTGAGGGGATGTTTATGACTGTAAAGTCGTGCAGCCTGATGGACTTACATGACTGGGATGCGTTAACGTGAAAGGAAAAATACATGATTTATTGCATTTTGCAACCTAATAAATTGTGATAGCCCACGACCACGGGCCCAATTACATAGAACAAGACTCACTATCAGTGGCATTCATAATAGCCCAATATGATCACGACACCAATTGCAGTAGCAATGACGAGCACTGGCAAAATTTCAACGATTTACTGCCAATCACATTCCCCAACAGGGGATTTGCGAGCGTGCCCAGCCTTCGCCGCCTTCCACGAGCCGTCAGCTGAGTGCGCTCATGCGCCTGACCTGACCTGACCTGAACTCGCCCGGCCCGGCCTCAGGCGATCGCCGACCAGTCCCAGCTGCTGCAGAACAAGGCGGACCAGCTGGGGGTGGGCCTTCAGGACGCGCGTGCCGAGCTGACCGTGCTGCTGCGCTCCTGCGAGGCGCCGCGCTGCCGACAATTGGGAGCACGGTTTAACCTTTCGCAACTCAGCGTCGACAACTCGTTTAAACAGGTGATTCCCCCTCTTCCTCGCTGTTGCCACCTCCGCCGATTACGTCATTCCTCGATTCATCACAATGACGTGGTCAATAGGGCATAACCATATATATATATATATATATATATATATATATATATATATATATATATATATATATGTATAGCGTTCGATTGGATTTGGTTGCGAGAGGTGACATTGGGCATCCCTCGGTCGCGATGTGCGAATCATTGCGATGGATTGGGTGCTCTTGTCTCTGTCATAAACCTGGACGGGTTCTGCCTTTGTGCATGCTTGCATGCTTCTCATATCGTTCTTCGAGCATGTTATAAAAAAGTGATGTGACAAGATGACATTCATTGTACATGACATATCCCTAAAATTTCATGTTGTCATCGTCCGTTTTCTGTCAAAACCTCCACTGATAGCCTTTTGACCTGATTTGACACCCTCTCCAACTATCGCCACCCCGTCACCTGGTCGTGCAAGCCTTCAGAATCTGCTGTGGTCCGTCTCGCTGATCAGTATCGTGACCTCCAGCTGCCCGACGTGTCGAGGACGGCCCGCGAGATCTCCGCCCTCATCGAGAACGGCATCGAGAGCGAAGTTCGCTCCGGCAAACAGGCGCTCGACCAGCTGTCTGAGCGCATCCAGGCAGAGGTGGCGGCCATCGTGCCCGAGGTCCGGCAGAGTATCAGTCGGGAGGGTGAGTTATGTGTAGCTGGTGGTCATGAGCACAGGTGCGACCAAGAGGCATGCTCTCAGGTGAGTTATGAGAGGCTGGTGGACACGGGCGCGTGTGCGACCATGGTGGTTGGCCAGGTGAGTTATGAATAGCTAGTAACCACCAGGTGGGAATTTGTGGACGAGCGTCACCGAAACACCCTCCTCGAAAGTTCACTCACTCGGTGCAGCTTATGAGGAAATACAGAACTGCTATTCAATAAGTAAAAAATCAAACAGCCACAAGTTTTGCATGCCCCTGTGCATCAGTCTGGATTGCCCTTGATCCAAAAGTCTTAACTGAAAATCAATGTCTGTTCCGACCAATTACGAAATGAAAATACTAGTGGCAGCGACCGGTTGTTTGGCTAATAATGTTCTTGGAAGCTATTTAGACCCAGGCCGTGTCATCATGGGAATAGCCAGGCCGTTTTTATTCCATCATGCATAGTGGTCTTGTTTTAGGGGTCAGAGGCCAGGGGCCGCGCGCACCTACCGCCCTTGGGCCGCTGCTGCTGTGCATACCTAGCACCTCACTCATTGCACTCGAAACGCTTACGAACATCCCCTCCCCGATTTGAAACGCAAAACGGACTGTTGGTAACTGGTGTTCACCTCGTTGGCTTGGCAGCAGTGCTGTGGCAGTCGGTTGGAGTTTTTAATTTAGCGAACCAATAAGCTTTCATTTGACGAGCCTTACTGTGGCGTCACACCTTTGTCATACAGAACGTTTCAGCTAGCTGCCCATTTCTGCTGATTGCGTCCGACGGCGCTTCGATTGGCCACCCTGTTCACCGGACGCAGTCGCCACTGCCCTCTGCTAGCCGCATGAGTCACCACGACAGTCTATGGCTCGCATGGCGTGAGCAGGACCGGACGGCCTTGAGCCGGATGTGTTATGTGCAGCTGGTGGATTTAAGGGCAGTTCGGCGCTGACTGCTAACGTTCCGGGGTAAAACGGGCCGGCGCCGCTCTCGTCGGGCCCAGCACGCCCGCCCGTTCGTTGGCTTGCATACATAAGACGTGGCTGCAAATCGGCTGAGCTGTTTTGGGAAAAATGTGTAGATTGGATGCAAGAAGACTTAATTGAATTCGAAATGGAACAGCCGGATTGGTCAGGGATGTAGAGTAGTAGCATAAATAGTAGCATAAAAAATGGTTTGAGTTTATTTTGACTCTAACTTTTTACCCTGATTTAGATCGCTTCGTGCATCATGCACTGGTGGCATCGCCCAAAGGCAAAACCGGGTGTTTGGGCGGGAGAAAGCCAAATTGAATCTACGAAAAGGCCCAGGGCTGCCACTTCCTAAAATCGGTGCCAGGGTGGGGGCTAAACCGAGAAGGCTGACATTCTTAAAACCCCAAAACCTGATTCATTTCCGGGGTTCGGCCACTTGAATTTGTGGCCCCAATGTCAAGAATAGAAAATGTGAAGTATTTTATGAATGCAAATCGTTTTGTGAAGGAATGTTTCCCTATTTCGAGCCCATATGAAGCTGCAATGTTGTGAGGAACTTTGAAATAGGTGAAATTCACAGCAAGCATTTTTTGTCAACTCATTGGTGCTATCCAATCGGGCCTTTCTTGTTCACAGGAAATATCTAAGTAGCCGGCCAGATATGCTCACCGAAACAGGTCTCTCGTTTTTCATTCATGGAAGGTGACCCGGGGCGAAAAACACACCGTTCTGTGCAGAACGGTGCGTCATGACACGTACGGGCTACAGAAGAGTGTGCAAATGATACGTTTTCCGTCGACGCTATGGAAAATGCATCATGGACACTGCCAGGAAGTGTCTATACCTAGAAGTAAACTGAGCTTGCACAACCTAAACAGACATGTCGACAGCTGGATGAACTCAGCAGGTGTAGGCTGGTAATCGGGCGTGTTTCCACCTGGTTGCCAGCCTAGCCTACCACCAGTCAGAATGACCGGTTTAAACAACTTTGGAGATTCGATATGAGCAAGGAAGACCCTGCGCTCGTTATTGTAGTGGGGGGGGGGGGGACATCATGAGTTGCCAGTTCCCTGAAAGATGATTGGCCTTCAGTTTGCAAAGAGGTACTGATTGAACGGCAAGTAAGCATCGTAACTTTTGAGAAGCGACATTTCGAAGCGGTCCTCATGGTAAGATTGATTTATTTGCAATCCCCCCCACCCCCCAGTATTTCTGTCACCCTAGAATACACCGCGTAAAAAAGTTAATTCCGATCGTCGACGCCGTTTTGTGGTGCAATCAGGTGAAAGGTAAACCACCGAACTAGGTTTTACACCCAGGTCCCTCATCATACTGCATAACAATTCAGCACCATATGCGGATCCTGGGGTGGGGGGAGGGGAGCACTGGGCCCTGCCCCCCAAAAAACTCTGAGAGTATGTTTTGGCCCGTCCCCCAAACATTCCCAGAAATTCATAAAAGTTTCGTCTACCCACCTTAAAAGATGTACCTCAAAATAATAGCCTACATAATAGTAAATACGTAATAGCAAAAAATACCTCAAAATGAGGGTTACGAGCTTGGTAAACATGCATACTGGATAAAGAAGATTCAAAAGCATTCCTGTGCTAGAATGGTGTCCCTACTAGGTACTCGCGAGAGGCACCATGCATTGGACCTCGGATCCCATACCAGCGAGCTGGCGACGAACGGTTGCCCCCCCCCCCCAAAAAAAAACAACAACTCCAGTCTAGATCCACCCCTGTTCAGCACTCCCCCATGACTGTTAAGATGGCAGTCCTTAATTACAAATGCGGAGCGAGAAGCGTGGGTTTCTGATCACCCGTCCTGCGAGCATAGTTCTCATAAAATACCAATTATTTTACGCTACTACCGTCTTTGAGCATTATTTCATGGTCGTGTACCTTGTGCTGAAATATGTGACTACTGGCTAAATGCAGTAAAATAGAAGGTACAAGTCACCGTTTATTAAAGGTGAGAAACCGTCGTTTGGGGAGATTAAATTGACGTTAGGGAAGAATGTACCAGGTGGTGGGATGGACGGCTGGACGTGTCCTTAAACGAAGCTGTGTGCCTCTGCCCTTCTGCAAAACTCTTGGCGCAGCTTTTCCGCAACAGTCGTTGTCTCCCCCAGGCATTCAGCTGCAGGGGGTCGCCACTAACATCACCAGCGTGCTAGACGAGGTCCAGCTGCGGCCTGCTCACAGAGCCATTGACGAGGCAAACGACTACCTGCGTCAGTACGGCGCCTTCAGGTAGGCCCTGCCGCCGCCGCCGCCTCGCGCGCGCTGGGCGCGGCGCGACTACCTGCGCCAGAACGCCGCCGTCGCCTCGCACGCGCTGGGCGCGGCGTGGTTCGCTGTGTGCCTTGGAAACACCAGCAGACGCGTGTTCATGAGACTCACCGGGAACGTGTCCCCCCCCCCCTTGCATGTGTTGTGTGTACGCATCGCGTCCATGGGGCCATCCACAATGGGGCGTAGCTATCACAGACCGGTGTAAAAAAGTAGATAAGAACATGGAGGTACAAAACAAAACACGCGACACAGAGACGCCCATTCACCGGTTATCAATAAATAGCACTAGTACTCCAACAAGTGCGCTCTCACTGTGCGTACGAAACGCTCCCCCTTGGAGACACCAGCAAGGGTATATTCAAGAGGGACACCGGTGAACGTGCCCCTCCGCTGTTCCCAAGCTTTGATTTGCATTATTATGCAAGTGAATAAATGCCGGCAATTAAGACATCAGGATACCGCTTCGACAAGGATTGTCATGTACGGCATTGTTAAACGACATGCCAGAAAGGTGCTTGCCTGCGCTGTGCAAAAACTATTTATTTTCCTCAAATATTTGTAGCTAACATCCCCATTGTGTAATCCTGCATGCTTTCCTATGCACGAGTGCTGCCGAGGTCAAGTGATGCAAGCGCGCCGTACGGTGTAATGTACATTTCCGTGAGCCAGCTCTGCCCGCCGTGCAAGGTTACACATGTTCCTGATTGTCTTGTTACAATTTACCGTTCATAATTGCATCAACAGCTCGCCATCTTTCCACGCCAGATACTGCACTGCACATGCCTTGTTCATCATCTTAGCGCACAATTCCCCCACGTGACGTCACTAATCAGTGTTGCTCCTCCGCGCACCAGATACTACGTGTTCCTGATCATCTCGGGCCTGGTGCTGATCATCACGTTTTGTCTGACGGTCGGGATCTTCTGCGGCTTCTGCGGACGCCGGCCGGGCAATGTCTACGGGGACGGCACGTGCAACAAGGGCACCGGTGCCAACTTCCTCATCAGGTAACGGGGAAAGCGCGACAGAACTTTGGGAGAGGACTGTGCGAGAACCTGGCCACTTATCCACTGGTCTGGTGACGAATTCGTGCTACTGCAGGGTTTTTTTTTTAGGATCGCTAGGCATGCTTTTAGAGCGCCGTCAGTGTTGCCTGTTCGTGAAAATTAACTTGGATATATTTCACATTCTAGAGCGCTGGTCTGGGTGTGTTTGGATGATCAGTCACCAATTGATAGATCACATCGTCTACGTGTGACCATGTTTTGTCACCATTTTGACGTTTTGTTTTGAACCATATAGTCTTTGTCACATCATGCGCATTACAATGGACTATGTCACAACAACGCAGTCAAATGAGCGTGGCGTCACTATCACTCCCCCCCTCTCTCTCTTACGCGCTCGGCGTCATTTCCAGCGGCACGTTCTTCTACTTTCTGTTCGGCTGGCTGCTGCTGCTGCTCATCACGTGTATGTTCCTGCTGGGCGGTCTGGCCCAGTTCTACCTGTGCGACGGCCTGGCCAACCCCTCGGCGCCCGGCAGCGGCCTCGCTATCCTGCAGGCCGTCTATCCGCTGGAGAAGCTGCTCCCTCAGCTCGAGCCCACAGGCTTCGATGTAGCGGAGGTGGTCAGGTGTGTGAACTGCTAATCAATGGGTCAGGTGTGATCCATGTCATGTGAACTGCTAATGTGAACATGGTGTGTGAACTGCTAATTAATGGGTCAGTCCGGTGTGTGAACTGCCCAGTCAATTGTAGATGGTGGTATTGCTTAAGGTAGGTGGATGGCAGTGGCGGCGCTGGCAACCGGGAAATCGTATATGCGTTTTTTTATTATGTGCGGTTTGGTGGAAGCCTGATGAATAAAAACCTGCTTGCAAAAAAAAAAAATAGATGAGTATCGCGCATTCCGACTTCAAGCAACAAGACTGCTCGTGCGTGACTTAGCCAAGGTCTTGGGCGACGAGAATGCGGTCACATTCATCTTTATCAGGTGAAAGCATTCTACTGGGCAGCGGACTGTTTCGGGCCTCTTCGCGACAAAAGCAGAGCCATAATAGTACTTTATGTTTGCAGCCGATGCCATCGCAACCAGTCAATCTACAAGGTGCTCAACCTGGAACCCGTGTTCGATATTTCTCAGATCAGCACCTACAAACGGAACCTGGGTCTGGATGACCAGCTGGACAGGCTACGAGATGAGATCAGGGTAGGTAGATGCTCATAACCTAGACGGACTGCTTGTGATGGTTCGTCCGGGAGAAGGATATAACTGCCGGGTTATGTCTGTCTAATGCTCCACATAATCGGCAATAACATAATGCTTTCAGTGGAGAGCACCTCTTGGAATCAGTAGGTGGGCACAGTCGAGCAGTTGGCATGACATGGAAACACGGCCAAAGATTTGTTCTCAGCCGTTGAACAAACACCTGAGTTCTTGCAGTGGTGGGCGTAAGCCGACCTTTGTCAACATAAGAACAGAGATGATATTTGAAAGTCTCATATCTTCATTTGCGCACCATGTATGTGTGCTGATCAAAAAATTCAACGACTGCACTTCCGCCCATGTGCGCGCCACCACATGTCTTACGTTTGTCCTCACGATAACCGCGCCGCGCGCCTTTCAGGTGGACACGGACATAGAAATTCTGACGCCGCGAGCCCGGCAGCAGCTGATAGATTTAGCCGAGACGGACTTAGCGCAGGTCAACTACACGGCCTTTGCTGTCGCGGTACGTATCAAACTGTCTGTGCCCCAGCGTGCGCCGGCGTCGCTCTGGCTGCTGGAATTATTTCATTCGCAAATTGTAGCATTTCATTTTCACTTCAAAATGTGTAAGTCGAAGTTTTCGTTTGCATCACCGAGTATGTCCAGTTTTGAACCAAGCCTATCTGTGCTACAAATGAACGATTGGATTGTGAAATTAATCTAGTCTTGCCACCTGTTTGTCATGATAGATATTTTGACTCCATAGAGCAAGCATGTCGCCTCCAAATTAAAACCCCAAAACGGTTTGGGCATTTTCTATTCCTGTTACATTTGTTTTTTACAGCTTTTCCAGTACGTAGTACATCACGAAATGAATATATAGACGTTGCGTGTACGCAGGCAAATATAAGGTACAACTGGTTTCACACAGGTCGAGGTCTTGCTGCGTCAACAATCCAAAAACTTCTGCATAGTTGCTTAAAAGTTAGCTGCAAAACAGACATTACAGCTCAGTTGGTGCGAGATCGGACCTCCACTTGAAAGCCGGATTCGATAACTGGCCTCAGCTGTTGCTATTTGGCGCTCGTGTGACAAACGCGAACGCAGCGTTCCTCACAGTGAAAGCACTACTGTCAAAGCCATCAGCACATGCCGACTGTCCACCAGCTGAAGGAGCGCGTGCTCTCGATCGACCTGCGCAACATGGGGCGCGAGCTGGAGTCAGCCGCCCAGGAGCTACCCAACACACAGCGCAGCGTGGCCACCAAGCTGAGGAACCAGGCCATCATCCTGATGGCGCACCAGCGCGTGGCTGAGGGCATGGCCGAGATCGTCGACGGCGTCTTGGTGAGCTTCCTCACCAGCTGGCGGATGTGGTGGTTTAGTCGGACGCCTCTGGCCGGGCCCGGAATTGGCCGTTTCGGTGTGCGTTTGTTCGGCCTCAGGAAGGACTATAGTAGCTAATGAGCAGCATTATTAGATGCTCGCATTTATATTCACCGTCCGCGCATTGACTCATTAAGCGCATGCTATTTTTACGAGTACAACGGATCAGCCTGTCTTGTCCTCATCAGCTGCACTTTTTCACGGAATCTACGTGGTGGGTCATCATTACGGATGTGCTTAGGAGCATAAGCCTATATCGGCTTATCCATCGTCTGGCAGGAGACATGCTCAAGTCGTATGTCAAACATCCAGCTTCAGGACTGCCATTGCGTCCTCTGTATGCTTCCCATTATTCCCGAGCCGCAGCCACGGTGCGATCAGGCGGGCCATGTTGCCATCCCGCCCTGATGACGTACCATGCCTCCGCACCACCCGGACATCGGGCCATGCCACCATGCTGTCTCGGTCTCGTGCCATGTCGCCACCTGCCCTAACCCCTCACCATGTCACCATCCCGCCCTGACCCCCCCATCATGTCACCATCCCGCTCTGACTCCTTCACCATGTCATCATCCCGCCCTCACCCCCCACCATGTCACCATCCCGCTCTGACTCCTTCACCATGTCATCATCCCGCCCTCACCCCCCACCATGTCACCATCCCGCTCTGACTCCTTCACCATGTCACCATCCCGCCCTCACCCCCCACCATGTCACCATCCCGCTCTTACTCCTTCACCATGTCAATATCCCGCCCTCACCCCTCACCATGTCACCATCCTGCCCTGACCCCTCACCATGTCACCATCCCGCTCTGACCCTCATCATGCCACCATTCCGCCCTGATTCCGTACCATACTGCCGTCCCACCAGCACGTCGAATCATGCCACCATGCTGTCCTGGTCTCGTGTCATGTCGCCACTCGCCCTGACCCCTCACTACGCCAACGCCCCACCCTAACCCCTCACCATGCCACCATCCTGCTCTGACTCCCCCACCATGTCACCATCCCGCTCTGACCCCTCACCATGTGACCACCCCGTTTTGACCCCTCACCATGTCACCATCCCGCTCTGACCCCTCACCATGTCACCATCCCGCTCTGACCCCTCACCATGTTACCACCCCTCCCTGACCTCGCTACACGTTACCTGCGCAGAACTCCACGGCTGCCTTGCGGGAGCACGTCAAGTTCAACCACACGGACGTGACTGAGGCGGTGCAGGCGCTAACCTCCCAGGCGGAGGCGGCTCAGCAGTACCTTCGCACGCGAGGTCGCGCCGAGGTCATCCAGGTCAGAGACAGAGGTCGGACGAGTCGGCGCTAGAGGTCGCTTGGGTCAGCGTGATCCCTGTGGGAGAGGCAGAGGCATACGTGGAGGAAGTCGGGGGGGGGGGGGGAGTCGGTTTCAAGAACACTCCCGATGTTAATGAGCTGATCAAGAGATGATAATTGGGACTCGCACGACGATAGGAATATAATCATCTTCTCATGTTAGGTTGGTATGGGGCTGCGCCAGCCACTAGACGGGTGTTGAGTGGTGGCTGTCCATGGCTTAAGCCCCTGGGTTCTTACGTCCCTCGCGTTCGAATACCGAGCACATCATGGTCCCTGATACTTATAACCATCGCGGTCGTTGGTGTTACATCAGAGGGTCCGTAATGGCGTGCGGTGCACCTTCCCAAAAAGGCGAAGACGCCAAATCGTCCCCTGACCTTCTCACACCGGTGCCACCAGCTGGCGGAGGACTTCACGTCTGAATTCATCTCGCACGTGAACGGCTACTCGGAGCGCGTGGAGCGAGCCTTCGGGCGAACGGTGGGGCGGTGCGGCCCCCTTAGCACCGTGTACAACTCCACGGCCATCACGCTCTGCAGCAACGTCATCTACCCTTTCGTGAGTGTGGAGGCAGACTCTCTCATCCCTGTAATGGGATGTTGACGTGGGCAAGGAGGGTAGCTCATCTGTGCCTTCTCACCCAGATGGAGATGTGGTCATTGAAGGCTTTTGGAGGAGGATTCTGGCCTGGGTCTGTTGATTCGGAGGCACAAACGCTAGCCTGCCGTTCGCTTAATGAAGTGGTAGCTATAGTGAAATAATATTGCATTCTACCGTATTCAAATGGCGCGGGTAAAATGACTCTCTCTCTCTCTCTCTCTCTCTCTCTCTTCTCGCTCATTCCTCTCTCTCTCTCTCTCTCTCTCTCCTCCTCTCTCTCCTCTCGCTCTCTCTCTCCTCGTCTCTCCCGCTCCTCTCTCTCTCTCTCTCCTCCTCTCTCTCTCGTGCTCTCTCTCTCCTCTCTCTCTCTCTCCTCTCTCTCTCTCTCTCTCTCTCGCCCTCTCGTGCTGTGGCTCTCCGGCCTCTGGCTCTCTGGTCCTGGGTCTTGCTTTGCTTTGCTTTGCTTGCTTTTCTCTTGCTCTTGCTCTTGCTCTTGCTCTTGCTTTGCTCTTGCTCTTGTTTTCGCTCTCGCTCTCATGCATGCTATCCAAACCACTAAAAGCTATCGAACAGTCGTCAATACCCTCCATCATGCCTGACCGCCATATCCGCGTTGGCTCGCCGTCACCCCCCGCCTGACGGCGCCGGCTGGCCGACAGAACGCCTTCTGGGCGGCAGTCGGCTGGTGCCTGCTGCTCTTCATCCCGTGCGTCATCATCAGCCTGGCCTTGACGCCCCTCTACCCGCAAGTCGGAGCCCTTCTCCGAGGGCCTGATGGACACGTGAGTGGCGAGGCGACCCCTGGACTCCGCCTGATTGCTTGTGTTTGGTGGGCCGTGCACGAGGGAGCGAATACAGCGGCGTGTGTTGACGGTTTTTGCCTGTGGCCTGTGGGATCTAAGTGATCTGTGGTCTTTATGGTACACAGATACTCGGGACAGGCTTAGTCAAGCGTGCCGCGCGCCGCTGGTGATCCATGATGGTACCCTCCACTAAACGATTTCTGGTATGTCGCTGCCTGTCTTTATTGAGAATTCACTCAACCAGTTTTTGACTGATGTGATCAACATGTGTCGCTCCAGTACCATGACGTCAACCTCCGAGAATACTGTTATTCTGTCAGCTGATTTCCGTTGTGCTGACCTGGCATCAGCGCATGCCGTGGGTTGTCTTCGGTCTGACTTTGTTTGTCTGATATCCAAACTGTTCTTGCAGCGATCTGTACGACGCCTACGGTGATCATGACCACATTCCCCTGGCAAAGTAAGCACTGGATGTCGGGACTGAAAATGTATCCTTCATGGCCAATTGCCCACTAACCTCCTAAGATCCAAACAGTGAGCAACGAATATTTTCCGTAGACCGTTGTTTCAGAAAAAAGCTTGAAGACGGCATATGTTTAAGCTTCAGAGTACCGTTGCTTACCGCCAAACAGTTTTGGCTTGGTTTGGGCGCAAGGAATAGTTGTGTGGCAAGACAGATCGTTGACTAATGTGGTTGGCCATGCGGGCTACAACGGTAATGTTGCAGCGCTTTAAACGATCTGAGTATTCCGCGATGATAACCGCGCGTTGTCCAGCCTCCGCTAGGTGTCAGCCGCGTCTCTGACGGCCCCTCCGTCCGCAGCGTGCGAGATCAGCGCGGCGACCGGCGGCGCAGTCGCTCGCACGACAACAGCCGTTACCATGGTTACAGCCCCGAGTCGCCGTCGTACTCGGCCATTCCGCCGCGCGGCCAGCACTTCAGGCCACTGGGAGCTACGGCCGAGCTGGGGGACACCGAGCCTAAGGCACCGCCGCTGTGAGTCGTGTAGCGTGCGTGTGGGGAGGGGGAGCGGGGAGGGGCGTGTTTGAGAGTGATGTTCAGCTTTCTGGCGTGCCTGGTGAAGGTTTCCCAGCACTGATTGTTGTGTTTGCTTAACGACATTAATTTATTATCACAGCTGTTTGGTACGTTGAAGTCAAATTTTAGCTCCGTCAGCCATAGCGAACTTAACCGCGCGCTGCAAAGCAGTGACGAACACAGGACACAGGGCATACGCACAGTCTCCTCCAAGATACTCCATTTCGTCCATCAAATATCCATCCCTCTCGACAGACCACTAACTAACCCCGGAAACACTGCTACCCCAACCCAGCGGTGGCGGCGCCTCCGCAGCCGCCCGCCGCCCGCATCACTAACCGAGCCGTCCGTTGGCTAGGTGGGAGGAGATGCACGAGGGTCCGCCCGGCTACCCGGACAGCCCGCAGGCCACCCGCGAACGGCCGCCGCCGTACTTCCCGTCTGAAGCCGCGTGAGTGCCTCTCCTCGAGTCGGTGCGAGTGTCCCATCGAGGCCGCGTGAGTGCACGCCTTCGAGCCGGTACGAGTGGCCCATCAAGGCCGCGTGAGTGTCTGGCTTCGAGCCGGCGCGAACGTCCCATCGAGGCCGCGCGAACGGCTCTCGAACCCTGCGTTAAAGACTCTCCGAGCTAGCGTGAGTGTCCCACACCTTCAAGCTAGCGTGAGTGCCTGCTGCGAGTCGGCTTGAGTGCCTCCCGAGCCAACCCAAGCTTGCACGAGTGCTTCCCCGAGGCTGTGAGTGCCCACTCAAGTCCCCCTTGCCGCCGTTGTAAATCATCCTCAAAGTCGGTATGGGTCAATTTCATAGCCTGCGTAACCACCCTCCGAGCCTATTGTGTGCCTATCCCAAGACCTCATGTATGCTCCAGTGAACCTGGGTGAGTGACCCCAAAGTGCAGTGCGATCTTTCTGCCCCCTGTACGGCTTAATCAGTAAATATAAGTCGGTACTGTAAATGTTTGATATCCTGAGGGCAGATGGCTGACACCGACCCATCCCACGTTACTCCGGCAGGATCCGCCACGCGTAAGCCGAAGCCCTTCAGCACCAGCCCTGGAGGCTCCCACTGCCAGCCGCGCCCCCCCCCCCCCCCCGGAAACGGACCCCCAACCTGCACTCTGAAGCGGCCCGCGGCGGCGGTCGGTCGGTGATACGCTGGTGTCGTCATGGGGGTTCCGTTGGTCGGGCGGAGAGTGGGGCGCGCCCTTCTGCGCGACACGACACTCGGGTGTGGGGTTTCGTTACACAGCGATCTTGGCCGGATGTCTGGTGGGGACACGCGTGTCTGCGGGATGTCTCGCGAGACACTGATCTCGGTCGGCTCTCTGATGGGGCGTCTCTGTCGGATTTTGCTTTTTGCGAGCCGCCGACACCCGCCAGGCATCTCTTAAGGCACCGGGCTCCGTTGGAGGTCTCTTGAGACGCCCGTCTCCGCAGTGTCTCACTGAATGCCCGTCCCTGTCTGATGTCTTGTCTGACAATGGATGTGGAACGCCGTGTGAGACACCGCGTTCTGCTGGATGCCACACGTGAGACGGACTTTCTTCTCCATTTCCCCGCGTGTGTAAGCGGGCTGTGATATTTTGTGTGTTCGCCAGTCAGCGTGATGGTGCGTGGTGTGTGTTTCGTGTATAGGCGTCACGCATGCACGACTATACGGTCGGTGCGCGACCTCTCACGTGACACCGAGGATCACTGAACCGAGGTTCGGTCTTCCAAGCCGCCTGCCACTGTGGCGGCTTGCATGCATACCTTAATCAAAACGCGTGGTGATTGGCGGATGTGGACGCGGTGGTTCTCATTGAGCTGACTCCATATGCACATGCCTATGTACAGAGTTCCGTATCAAGTTCATGCCATGCTTATTGTGTGGAGTTCCGTGTGGAGTTCATGTCATGCCTATGTATGGAGTTCCGTATGGAGTTCATGCCATGCCTATGTATGGAGTTCCGTGATGGCGGGAGGCGTGGGGCGCTCTTCCCGCGTCTGTGAGTCAGCCGGAGTTTCAGTACTTGTGTGTTAGTGATGGTGCTTGATGCCTTATGGGAACACGTCGCGATTCCCTGGTGGCAAACTTACTGAGGCAGAGCGTGACGCCGGACCCTCGTTTGTCTGCTTCATAGTTATGCCATTGACAGTGTTTCTCTTGTTTCGACGAGTGTAACCGTCATTTGAACGATTGTAAATAGGTATGTGCCACCTGTGCGTGTAACATCGCTTTTGTACATACAGCTGGGAACGGTTAGATCGTATGTTACGCTGCAATCTTACGTCGTTCTGTAATTGGTGGAATTATTTCAGACGATGAGGCCAGCCGCCGCTCGTGATACAGGTCACGTGTGCTCACAAAGTGACTGCCAGGAACTGGGTCGGGACATCATCTTGTCCATGAGTTAGGCGCACGTGGGGTTGATATGCGGTAAGAATTATCGTCCTGTCGCAGCATGGATGGATGTTGGGTTGCAGTGCTGGAAGGCCACACCGTCCAGTCGGCTCGTTGTGAGACTCGGACCCTTCCCGCGCTGTATACAGGAGCTGACGTGACAGGTGAGCTGATGTCAAACTTATGTCAGCGTGGCTTCTACACATGCAAGTGATGTAATCTGGTGATATCCGACAAAGTGGGGAAATGTGTCATCGCGATGTAAATACACCATGCCCCTGGATTCGTTTTAAACCCCTGCGTGTCTCGCAGTTCAGATTCCAACCGCACTAGCCCTTGAGAGTGATACAACCCTGCGATGAAGCGCGGGAGTGCCCGTGGTGATCCAGGTCAAACTGTTAATCAAAGGTTTCCAAAACTAGTCTCGCAGGAGCAAGAAACCGGTAGACTGAACACATTAGGGCTGGCACTCACCCCGCCAAGTCTTCCTGAGATGGTCTGCCTTTTCTGCCCGCTATGGTTGGTTGGCAAGACCTACACGTTACTCAAGCAACAACCCAATGTGTGAGGTAGCTCAGGTGTCACGCGGCTGCCATGCGCGCGTACCCAACACTGCTAGCACGTCAGCTGGAGGACTCACGTGCCGGTCAAATTCGTGGGTCCTCGCATGGAAGCACCCACGAAGTTGCGAGTACTTCCATGTGAGCAACTCAACCCGGGTAGCGGGTTGGGTTGGGTAAAGATGCGAGTGAAAGTTACCGGTATAGTTACAGGTATGGATAAGGCATTTACAAAATGTCTGACAGGTAGTGCAAGTGGAACGCTCCACAAAATTACTGATGGTGCTTGTTTTTGCCACAATTAGCTCCACTCACGCTGCTTTTGCAATTATAAACCAAAGAAGTGTTAGATTGGGCGTAGACTTCCCCAACTCTTCCTTGACACGCGCTCGGGTGGGAGGAGGTCAATTTGCCCCGCCCCCCCCCCCCCGGCGGTTTTCCCCGGAAAAGTTTTTGAGCGGGGCGGCGTAGCCACGCTAAATTTCACATAGCTTTATAACAGTGAATAGCGTATCGTTTGATATAAAAATTTAGATGTAGCTCATAAGGTCGCTGACCTACGGCAGGACGAAGTCAGGCCATGGATTCAGCGAAGACAATTTCTATGGGATCGTTCAATCTGATGCAACAACGGAGTGTTGACTAAACTCTTACACATCTGCGGTAGCTTCTTAGGCAGCACAACAGCTGAATGAACAAATTCCATTGACCTAGCATCAGATATGAATGCCAGGACAAGGTTGAAGCCAACCTGTCTTATCGCTCTGGAGTTTTTCTGCATGGGTTTGATTCTGGTGCTCATTTTGCATCTATTGATAACAGGAAACGTAAGTTATCCAGTGCGTTAGCGAGGAACATTATTCACATAACTTCGGAAGTAGTATAAGCCTTATTCCTTGGAGAAAAACCAGGAGAATGGATCTATAGTTGGGTCGATTTTCGATAAGGGTATGTTGTCGAAATATCAAGTGACTATATCTTCATTCTCCTGGTTTTTCTCCGAGGAATAAGGCTATTACTACTTTCTTAAAACAGGAAACGCATTCAGCATCTTCCAATGACTTCTTAAAGGTCATAATAGATCACTGACTTACAATAACCAAGGTCAACATTTTGCTTTTTAGGAACATACTGCCTGGCGTCATCTTTGACTCTCACTCAAATGCAAAAATCAAAGCAGTCTTGTATGGCTTTGGTCACCATGACCTTAAAAGGTCACCGCCTTTAAGCAAAAAGTCAGTGGCAACGACGTCACTGACCAAAATGAGCACCAGTGACCTTTTGCTTAGAACAGATATCTAGGCTCACGGTGGTCCCTTAAAATGCTCTGAGGGCGCTTTGGACAGCAATCTGAGGATTGACCTTGTTTGACCTTATTTGATCCGGAGGTCATGACTCAGGAACCTCAAATTTTGACACAAGTGAATTCACGCATATGCCAACACATCCTGTGAATCTGGTGTCAGCTCTCTTAGTGTCTAAGATTCCAGGATGGGGGGTTAAATAGGCCCCCGCCCACCCCAGCGAAGGGTATCTTTAACCGGCCACCCGGGGCGTTTTGATTTAAACCAAACAGCTGAACAAATGTCGCTGGGTGAGTAACATGTGGGTGGAACCAGGGACGGCAACACCATGGGGAACGTGGGAGATGCGTCAACCACAACTTTTAGAACGTGGGAGACTCCTCTACAACCCATGAGACCCAAAATTGCCGAACACGCGCACACACGTTCCGGTAAAAAGAGTAAAGGAACAAAGAATCTCACGCAGAACGCCAAACGTGCAAACTTGACGTGATTTTTACAACGCAGTGGACAGCAAACGGAAGACCCGACGCGCGTAACCTTTCAACAGGGAGCTCATCGCACTATAAACCAGTTCTTGGCATGCGTGATACGGTAAAAACTGCCGACAGGAATGCTTCATTATTACTTTTTTTGTCAATTTGTACGATTAATCCTACGACGTTATTTCTGCTGTCTGTGTTCGTTTCATGCGGCATTAGTGATATGACATCTGATGTCATTGGAAGTGGTTCACTTCCAATGCAAGTGCTTATGCGGTGTTAGTACTACATGGCAGAACGTATGCCTTTGAAAGCTTATGCCCGTCAGAACTTCCTATAAAAACGTATCCATGGTTCACTTGCACACGCCATTCCTTCAATTGGAATATTTCGATGCTGCACGACAAAACTTTTAATATAAAAAGATATATCATCCTTACGTCTACCGCAAAACACTTGTAGTCCTTACCTGTACGCGACATGACTTTCACTGGCATTACATAGACGCAAAATTGTTGTTGCACCATAAACCCCATGCTTTAGAAACTTATACAGTTGTCGCTTCTACTGAAAAATGTGTCAAACACTAATGACGCATCATGGCAGGACATCACGGCACCCAATGTCATTCCACGGCCAAGTTTTATGTTAAAATAATCAGTCATTTCTTCTACCACAAAAATCTATGCTTTCCCTATTTATACGCGACGATGCTTGCACAACAGCATTTAGTGTACAACACGAGGCGGAACGGAAAAGACGGAACAAAACAGCACAAAACAGCACATAACGGAACGGAATGGAACGGGACGAGACAGGACGGGACTGGACGGGACGAGGTGGAGCAGGGAAGAGCGGGACAGGGCAGGCCAGGGCACGACCGGTCTCAAGATAAAACAAGACGAAGCTGGCCTTGTTTTGCTGGGTCCTTTGTCTTTTCCTCGGTGCTGCCTGCCTGTCCCCTGTACCAATACTCTTTCTGTGTCCTAAGTCATTATCTCTGCCTCCGAACTACCTTCTTCTCTGCTATACTATGCCCTCCATCCTACATCGTTGCTTTCGTACCCTGTTCCCTGTCCTGCGTTGCCCCTGGTTGTGATATATTCTCTACCCTACTCTGTTCTCGGACCCGTCCTGTCCGATGTTGGGCTCTGTGTCATGTGCTGCCCTGTCCTGCCCCGCCTTGATCTGTGCTGCCATCAGCCCTACAATATGGTGGAACAGTGGTCAGAGAGCTCTCTCTCATATCAAACTCTACTGCTTTTCAGCACTGCGTTGACCTCCGCTCCCTTTTTGTTCACAGTCATCTTTACTGTACTCGGCCTCAATGCTGTGCAATCCTCTGCATGGTCCTTTGGTCTGTCCCCTTTGTTGCTGTTTTTTTTTGGGGGGGGGGATCGCACCAATTATTGCAAGGGGGCCTGTCAGCCCATTCGTGACTGGTGCTTTTGACCTGCCCCAGACAAGCGGGCTTCACGAGGATTCAGATAAAAGCGAGAAAGATGATAGGGTCGTATGAGCCTCGGTACATCCTCGAGCATATCCCATTTCTTTCTTCACTTTATTTGGTTTGAGGCGTTTTGACCTGTTCGCACCATTTCACACCTTTGGGGGGGTTATTTCAAATCAAGCCTACATATGCGATTGAAGAAAGAAATGACAACAATAAACTGATAAGCCTTCACAGTGCTTGAAACATATCAGTACGTCTAAGCAAATTAAACAAAAGATGAAGAAGCTGTGGATAGTCGTTATTTAGCAGAACTTTTAATGACAGCGCAGCGTTGTGATGACGACAATCTGCCTCCGATGCTTTTCGCTGCCGTTGAAACTCACCACATTCAAACAAAATATGTTTAAATGAAAGGGGACAATGACGCGTTGGCGTAGGAAACGAGGATGCTTTGAATAGAAATAATTATGCATACGCTTTGTGTGTCCAATTCAAAGGACGTACTAATACCCTTGCTTTCAAACGGTCTGGGCGGTTTACTTATGGCCAAGGTGTAATTTCTGTTTTACGTCATGAAGCTGGGTCCTAGCAGCTTCCGTCCGCCGTTGTTACCAAACTTGCTTTGCCAAATTGTACATGACAATCGAAAGGGATTGGCATTACCAATCCCTTTCGTGTCATTTCGGGGGGAGGGGGCGTGACATGACGTCACGCCCCTCCCCAAATTGGTGTCAGGGGACGTCAATGCTTCTTTAGCCCATTGGTCAGCGCCTCCAATTCTAGCGATACTCCGATGGCCTGGCACCCACACAATTCAATGTTTATGCCTTGTGTACGTAAATAATGATAAAGGTCTATGGTATTGACAAGGAGGAGGAGAGTAAAGTCGGGGTTACAAAGTAACGACAGGGTTGCCATGGAATCCGAGAAGATCACCATGGTTTGATCCCGTGATTTCTTCGTTCGATATGCTGCAGAGGAAGAAATAAGGCGAACAGTTATGTAAGATGAAAAGGTGTTCCACCGGGTCATCTGAATTCTTATGAGTAATTGTGTTACAGAGTACCACACGTCCGGTGTGGTTTCCGGTGCGGGTGGATCAGGTCATGGAAATACTACCCGTGAAGGCCCGTGATGACCCTTCGCGAGCCTTCACGACATGAGCTCCGTCGTCACCACAACAAGGTCTAAAGGCTCGAACCTCTGCGAGCCAAACCAGACCAGTTCGACCAATGCGCCTTCGTCTGGCCCAAAATGAATCATTCAAACCACCGGTCTCGCTCGACGTTGGCATCACCAGCACGGCACTGACGCCGAGCTAGGGCTTGCGTAACGCTGCACGGACGCCACGCAAACATGTTGTGACGTCCGTCCGTCACGCCCCCCCCCCCCCTGCCACTCTCACCTGTCTCGTCGCCACGTCCCCCTCCCCTTGCACCGAATGGCTTCACCCCGTCCGTACGCTCAGTCTCGGACGGCGCCACCGCTAACGTAGACGCGTCCTGAGGCTTCCCTTCGCGCCCTTCCGCTCGATCTCGAAGGCATTCTGAAGGTTTTTTACTCGTCTGTTTGGCAGCAGCTGGTAGTGATGCGCGTCTCGTGCCAGCCGCTCCAGGCGGCTCTGGCTGTTCTCCTGCTCATCCTATTCATGCAGGAACTAGATGCGGCGCCGGTGCCAGGTGGGTCAGCTGAACTGGGGCAGCGTCCAGGTCGAGTTTATCCCGTTATACCGTTTCACGGTCTTTGTTCCGGTGATCGGTCAACCTTTTGAACATTCGCCTGCTCTACGCTGGTTTGCACTACCACTGCATCTTGGTCAGGTTGTTTTTTACTACAGCGTTATTTCCACCGGCGTAATGGATGTCAGGGCAGACACGACCGGGGTACAGTGCTAAAGATTTTTTACTCAAAATTCCTTAATTTTTTAGAGTTAACAATTTAAATTTACGTGATTTTAATGTACCGTAATAAAACAGCAGGTCAGGGTGTACTTTCCTACCTAACGTTAGAAAAAATCATTGTACACCATTCGTCGTGTTTAAGGCATGACATATCGTAAATAATCTCAAAACGGGTAGAATCATGCTCCTACCTTCGAATTTCAATAACTTCGATGGCGGGCCCCCGAGCGCCGCGCGCACCGCACCGCATGGACTCCCCAGCGCCGTTTCCGCGTTGCCGTTGCGTAAATACAATATTTCTGCGTACCAAGAACTGTACAAAATGTACGGGACCAAAGTAAACCATTCGTCATGTTTAAGGCAGGACAACCATAACCTAACTGCGAACCATAAAAATATTTACTAAACATAAACCATATTTACCATAACCATATTTACCATACAAACCATATTAACCGCGAACCATACTATAAACCGGAACTATAACTATAAACTATACTATATAAACCATACTATAACTATAAACCATATTTACTGCGAACCATAAAAATGTACCGGGACAAGGTAGCAAGAATCCATGAAATTTGATCCTCGACGCCAACGGGACCATGGGTTGCAGGGGGATTGGGTGGGGAATGTAAAGCAAAATGAGAACATGGCAGCTAAATAAAAGCTCACTATATGGCACCTATATATGGCATGGAACATGGACGCCAATGAGATGCTGGGTTGAAGGGGATATAGGGTGGGGAGGTTAGGTTAGGTTAGGTTAGGTTAGGTTGGGTTAGGTTAGGTTAGGTTAGGTTAGGTTAGGTTAGGTTAGGTTAGGTTAGGTTAGGTTAGGTTAGGTTAGGTTAGGTTAGGTTAGGTTAGGTTAGGTTAGGTTAGGTTAGGTTAGGTTAGGTTAGGTTAGGTTAGGTTAGGTTAGGTTAGGTTAGGTTAGGTTAGGATATGTTCTGGACTATTCTGGCCTGCGTGTTTCATAGATGTACCTAAACTCGATAAGAAACGATTTTGGTTGCTTTATTATTGTTACCTTGGTCCCGTACATGTTTTATGGTTCTTGATGAGCAGAAATATTGTGCTTTCGCAACAACGTAGAAACGGCGCTTGGAAGTCGAGGCAGTGCGGTGCGGGGCGTACGGCGCTCGGGAGCTCGCTATCGTATTTATTAAAATTCGAGGGTAGGAGCATGATTCTATCTGTTTGAAATTATTTACGATATGTTCCGCCTTAAACACGACGAATGGTTTACCTTGGTCCCGTACATTTTGTAGAGTTCTTGGTAAGCAGAAATATTGTATTTACGCAACGGCAACGCAGAAACGGCGCTGGGGAGTCCAGGCGGTGCGGTGCGCGCGGCGCTCGGGAGCTCGCCATCGAAGTTATTGAAATTCGAAGGTAGGAGCATGATTCTACCTGTTTTGAGATGATTTACGATATGTGCCGCCTTGAACACGACGGATGGTGTGCAATGATTTTTTCTAACGTTAGGTAGGAAAGTACACCTACACCGAACAGCACAATTATATCAAAGAAATTAGAAAATATACTAAAAACACAATGACGCTTGAGGTCATGGAGGTTTGGCTATTAGCGTCGGCTTTAAACCGGTCCCATACAAAAACTGTAGGTCGCCAGCCACGTGAATCTGGAACGACTACCAGAGTCAGCATTTCTTGCACCGCTACCTGGCGAAGATCCATCGTGTTTCCTCTCTTCCCTTCCGCCGTCGCCAGCCCGCCGACCTCGCCAGTGACCCCTGACCTCTGATTTCCAGCGGTGGCGAAGCCGTCCATCCCCGAGATCCGAACGGGCATGGAAATAAAGAGCGGGCCACCGCCCTTCCTCGGCTGAACCGCGCTGCAAGCCAGGCTTTTCATGGGCTGGGCGGCGGTTCAAAAGCACGCCTTTACGCCCAGTTTTGTCCTGGAGGCCCGCATGGAACAGCCTGGAGTTCTGCTGCGAGGATGCGATGCTGGGAAAGCCATTCATCGTATGGTGGTCGTTCAAAGTGCGCTCTTGTTGTCAGCAGGTCTGTGGTAAGATGCTGTAACGGTTTGTGACTGACGTCACTGGAGTACACTGAACCGTCGTCACTTTAGTACCGCCGGCTTAGGGGGCGAGGGGGGGATCTTGTAGCATATCTGGCTGCGCGTGAAACGATAACTGCAGTCGATGGCTTCCAGCAAACATGGTGTTTCACTTGAAATGTCAATTTTAAGTGCAGGTATGGATATTAAACATTTCCCAAGTACATGCTTTCAAGCAAGCCTTGTTCAAATTGCCAGACACTTAATGTGGAGCCTCACACACAATCATTAGGCCCCCGTCTCCGCGCTGAGCGGCGAAACACGCTATTTGCAAGACGTTCGCAGGCGCGGGTCATTCCGGACGTTGGAGTAGCGCGTTCGCGTTCAGAGGCTGTTGTGGAGACATCTTGCAAGGCGGATGGAGCACCGGCTATAAAAAAACAGGGATGTCCAAACGTTCAAACATTGGTAAGGTAAGGAGGTGTGCTAATAAATGTTTTTATACATGTCACAGCGTTTTTGAAACAGACGTTTGAAATAAAACACCTTGTAGCACGACTTAGTGCTTGTCTCTAGATCAATTTATGGGCGCGGGAGGCAGATCGGTACGGTGGACAAAATGACCACTGCGTGGAGCCCGGGCCGGATGATGCGATACGGCAGGCCCGGGAGCGACCGCATCAGCTCTTGTATGCAAACATCCGCAGCATGTTGTCATTCCGCCATTGAAATAAACCCCCTCTGACAGCCTTTCCACACCGTTCCTCCTCGCTTCACACGTGCTTCACGATTGGCGCTGCCTGTGTCCCAGCGCAACTTGTGACGTACTTGGGTCCCTATTCGGCACTAACGCGCTGCGCACTCACACCAGCTCATTCTGCTCGGACTTCCCCTGTTTGCACTTCCATGCAGTACTGCTCTTTTACGAGAAAAAATGTAACCCAAGTTGTCCGGTGCATTAGCGAGGAACATCATTTACATGGATAAGACAGTAGCATTAGCCTTAGCCCTTGGAAAAAAAAACAGGAGAATAGGAGATATAGTTGGGTTGATATTTTGACATGCGTTCATCGAAACGATACAAAGGCACAAGTGAATATTCACTTGTGCTATTGTTTCGATGAAGGCATGTTGCCGAAATAATGTAGCTATGTAATAACGTAATTTGTATAGAAACGACACAAAGGCGCAAGTGAATATTCACTTGTGCTATTGTTTCGATGAAGGGATGTTGCCAAAATATCAACCCAACTTTATCTCCATTCTCCTGTTTTTTTTCCACGGGCTAAGGCTAATACTACTGTCTTATCCATGAGAAGTCATGTAACCGCAACGACTGTAAATTGTTCTACGAACACAGCGAAGGTGAGCATGGAGAAGAAAACGGCCTGTAACCGCATCAACTGTACATTGTTCTACGAACACAGCGAAGGCGATAAGACAAATATGCAATGACTACAACAACCACAACTGGCGACCCCCCAACGAACATCCCTGAGGCATGACTAGTGCTGGGCGGTCGCAGCAGAGGGGACGAGGTCGCTGAGCGGCAGTAATGGATGTCTTACACGATCCGTTGTCTGTGGTGGCGGATCTCCCATTTCCGACACTGAAAACACGGTATCACATCAGCCGTCCAGCATCGCCGATATCACTACCAGCGTGATAATATTAAGATGACTACTCCGAGCCAGACGGATTCTACCCACTAAGGGCTTACTGCCACTTCATCGTCGACTGAAGACATGGTCCAGCATTCCGGTACCATGGTTTCTTAAGCATCTCATAATGAAGTATGAGGACTACATCGCCAGGGTGATAAAATTTAGGGCGCTACAAAGAGTAAAGCTGATTCGACCCACTACACGCTTAAATCCCACTACGTCGCCCACAGAAAATATTGTTCCCGGATAAAACCCTGCGGTTTCCTAAGTAACTCGCAAAAACGTTGAACCCAAGTCCAAAGATGATCAAGTGAGATCTTTAGCCCGATGAAAACTGTGAGCAAATCCCGTTCTATTCACAACGCCGTCCTGCAATGTCCATGATGCCAGTGCCAGTACCACACCAGCCATATTAGGAACACTGTGAAAGGGAGCACCCGACACTATTAATACATTAATAATCACAACGCGTAAACTACCACAGGGCGAGCGCGGGCAACTAGAACAACTCTAAGCTCAGGCTAAGCTCTAAGCTAAGCTGAGCTAGAACAAGAACTCTGAGCTCAGGCATTACGCTGACGGTTCGTTAAATCTAGGGCCCACTCGAGCCTTGGTGGATATGCTTGCTGCGATCAACTTGAAGGTATTTTGCCAAGTTATCGATATTTGCTAACAGGTATTGAGAGTGTTGGGATCGACGCTCAGGTGTTGCGAGTGTTGAGATCAACACTCATGTGTTGGGAGTGTTGGGACGTCCTGGCCAGAAGGGTTGACGCTACAGCAAATGGTCTAATATTTTTTGCGCTTGTGTTGCACATCCTTGCCAGCAAGTACATCAAGCTTTGATGCATAGATGTTAAGGGTGCACAACCCTCACATATACTTCTTACGGGGCACAGATACTGTGTGCGGAGCGTTCCGTATCGTAACCGCCCTGCCGTATCGTAACCGCCGTAAGTAATTAACAGCTTTACAACACGCGGGCCGGCAAAGCAAAGGTCCTGCTCGCCCAACGCAAAGCTATCCACAACAAACAAACGACAGCGGGTGGGCCGGTGCCGGAGGCACGCGGTCACCAATGCACACGACGGAAATGGTCAGGATACAATAGACGAGGGGCTGGAACACGCACAACTGGGGTGGAAAGGTCAGGCCCACACTGAAGCGGGGGACGGCGCCGTGCCAGTTCGCGGGTCGTGGCTACGTGCACCGCGGCTCGCGCTCTCTGGTGCAAACGGAGCTTATACAAGCGTCACGACAGCCAACAGCGAGGAGTCTGGAGACACTCCGGCAGTCTAGAAAAAACTACCGAGAAAGGCAGGCTTTCTAGAAAGGAAGTCTGAAGGCCAAGTCCGGGTCGAGAGCCGCCCACTCGGTCAAGTTTGGGATTGGCACATGCTGCTAATATCGGCATGACTTCAACTGACAGCCACTGAGTTAACAGGACCGACAGCACAGCTATAAGCAAAAGCAGCCACCAAACCCCTGTTGGGTTAGCGGTTAGTAGCGGTTATCTGCAAGCCTCAATTCCCGAGTCCGTTTGATAAAGAGTTTTTGCCGCCTTAAATGACGCAACGCCATCTTCGTTAGACCAACTACTGTTTACGCCTGCATTACACAACGACCAACTTATTGACTAACAATATGGCGTTGCACACAATGAACGCAAATCGCGACAATCAAACTGAAAACCGCTGCAAACGAGCAGATGGCAACCGTAACGAGCCCGCCTGCAAAGAAACACCGAAATGAATGCAGGATCGGGCTGAAGCGGAAGCGAAACTGAAGCTGCTTTAGACACACCATACGGCTGAAGCGTTACTCCCGCCAGCGAGCCCATTGGACATGCAGCAACCCAGTACTCGGAGCACACTCCTCCCCCCCCCCCCCCCCCACCACCAGCCGTGCACAACCGTGACACCTGCGCACAAAACTGCTCACACCATCTGGCAGACAGACGGGGAGCAACAGAAGAGGGGGTCTCACCCCCAGTCGCCCTTCAGCATGTCACAATACACAGACCACGCCAACTACGTTGTTTCGGGGGCGATCTTCGGCAGGTGCCGGTTCCAAACGAGGCGAGACGTGTCAAGGCTGGCAGTGTGGCGTCACGCACGCGCGGGCCGATCAAGACATCCCACAGCGGTGCCAGGTCGCAGCAGGTGATGAGCACGAGGCGCACGGGCGCGACGCAGCCTCCGAGTGAGCCCGTCCACGCACCGTTCGGCGTTGCGAGCACTAACCATGGTTTGCGAGCTAGACACTACGCCGCAGCCCCGGTGAATTGACGTGCTGATGTGAAGTGACGGACCGTCACAGATCACAGTAAGGTGACGCGTGACGTGACGTGTCGATGGCACATAGTAATGCGATCCCGTGAGGTATTCTAACACCATGCTGTGATGAGGTGTGTCACTTTGTGACGTGGCAAGGAGACGTGGAGACCTACACACGCCGTGCAGTCCTACAGTGATACGGAAGTCTAGCGCTGGGACTGGGAGTGATAACCGAGTCCCCCAACCAACAGCGAAGAGTGCAGCCTGCTATGGAGCCCTCGCGAGACAGATCACGTGACAAACACTCCCACCGAGTGCAGTTCACCCGGGGCATCCGGCTCTCGTTCCCGCTCCAGCCGACACAGCCGCGTACTGCCTGTCGCCAGGCACGGACAAGAATACCACCACCCTCACCGCTAGCCAACAACCACAGTCATTCCGCGCTCAACACAGCCAAGTACAGCCACAACACCACCAGAAGGCGCACCTAGGGGTACAAAACGGGAGAGGGTTTGTTATCGACTGAACACCATTCGCCGACGTCTCAGTGAATGCACCATTCTTACACCAGCGACGCACTCCACGCCCTCTGTGAATGCACCCCTCCCCCACAACAGTCAGGTTCTGTGACTTGTTCCCCGCCTTTCACCGACGTCCAGCCACATCGTTCAGCAATGCGAGCTAGTAACAACGCGCACGGCGAGCACAACACACGATTAGAACGGTCACATTAGCTTTAATGCTAGTCGAACAATGACTATGATATAACGGCGCTCTATTGCCACAGTGATAGAATGAAGTCACACAGCTATCGCCGATGTTCGAGAATCTAGACATATCAATATGGCCGGCAGATGGTGCAATGGTAAAGTATGGAAGATGTGACGGGACCAGGATGCGAGATCATAAAGATGTGCGAGCGGGCGAGGAAAGATGAGGTATGTCTAGTCCGGCAGGGGGACCGGCGCCACGCGCCGACCGCACTGACGCAACTCGACGACGGCGGTGAGGTAGAGTGAGGCGAGGTGAGGTAGCAGCAGCCTTCGCCGCGGAACACGGACCTCTTACGTACTCCGGCATTTGCATGAGGTTCCCTACCCCACCCAGCCACCTCGATAAAACGAGCAGCGACGCAACGAACACGCGAGAAAGTCTAGCTCTGACGTCCGTCGCGCGACGTCACGACACGTCACGGTACGACACTGAACGACATGGTACGACACGGAACGGCACGACACGCAGGAGCCTCTGACGCGTGAGTCCGCTACAGCGGGCCCGGAGTATTGCACGGCGGCAGTAAGCCCTCAGACGGCGGGCGGAGCCACCGGGAGGCGACGCTACAGCTCCGATGGCACCGGCTTCGGCGGGTGCGCCTCCAACAGGTACGTCATCACCTGACCTGTGGAGCACGGGGCGAGCTCTTCGATGGAGATCTGGCTGGGAAATTTGTGGTATTGGCCGTCTTCATGAAACATTACTGCGTAAAACGTTTATGGCCGCGTAGCACGCCCCAGTGATTTGTGTGGAACTTTGCGGAACTCAGCGAAGCTCAAAGCAAATACGGCCAGTTCAAAGTTTCTCTAGTTTGCGAGTTGTTTTGTTTCCACCAGGTTCACCTGCTGGACGTTGGCGCAAAAACACCATCACGTCCAGACAACTATAATCATGCGCGTTCAAGGAAGCTACCTCGAAAAACAAGCAATTCCTTTTAAAATGAGTTATCACAAACATTAGAGAAACACAACAACGAGAAACCCTTTCGCAGAGGCATTAGCTACTGGGCTACTGGCGACCCTGAACCAGTACAAATCCACCAAGACAGTAACGCCTTGCAAACGTGTGGATAGCTGGGCTGATAAACAGAAAGCCAGTAGGTACGCGTTTCTGGTTTCCCCAGACTACTTCCCTGTCACCCTCATGAAACAGACCATTTTACCCTCCCCAGTCACCAGGGCGTTCTCCTCCTGCCCCCACGAACTTTCCAGCGCCCCTCCCCTACCACTAGCAAACAGCCTGCCGGTGTTGCGCATCAGTGCCGCTCGGCGTCTATCCCTGGTCCCCACCGGCAGTTTCCGGCGCCCCTGAGCTACTCACTGGTAGTGTATGGTAGCCCCGACGACGACAAACAGGTGCCAGACGGCGTGCGCCAGCGGCAGCCGGCCGTCCAGCTTGAAAAACACCAGGCCGAGCACGTACACGGCGCCGCCGTACTTGAGCTCCGTCACACCGCTCACGTCCGTCTGGGGAGGTGGATGGGGGGGGGGGGGGGCAGTCAGGTGGGCAAGCAGGGACATGCCACTCACGTCCGTCTGGGGACGCACGGGGCGACGATCAGGTGGAGAGGCAGGGACACGCCGCTTACGTCCGTCTGGGGAGGCACGGGGCGACGATCAGGTGGAGAGGCAGGGACACGCCGCTCACGTCCGTCTGGGGAGGCACGGGGCGACGATCAGGCGGAGAGGCAGGGACACGCCGCTTACGTCCGTCTGGGGAGGCACGGGGCGACGATCAGGAGGAGAGGCAGGGACACGTCGCTTACGTCCGTCTGGGAAGGCACAGAGCGACGACCAGGCGGAGAGGCAGGGACACGCCGCTCACGTCCGTCTGGGAAGGCACGGGGTGACGACCATGGGGAGAGGCAGGGACACGCCGCTCACGTCCGTCTGGGAAGGCACAGGGCGACGATCAGGTGGAGAGGCAGGGGCACGCCGCTCACGTCCGTTTGGGGAGGCACGGGGTGACGACCATGGGGAGAGGCAGGGACACGCCGCTCACGTCCGTCAGGGGACGGACGAAGCGACGTCTGCAGAGGGACAGAAAAAGGGTGAGAGTGGGGAGGCCGTAAAACCGAGCCGGACCTTCACAGTGGCATACAACGAACAATTGCATCCAATAACAGTGCAAACGCCATTTGCAATAATATTGCGTGTAAAAAGCGGCATCTAAAATAAGCGCATACCGATTTGTGCTCACTGCTTTCATTTGAGCCAAATGGTCCCATTGCTAGAAGCATGGGCAGATATACATAACACATGGCTTAACCTTGAAGGGATCGCGCGCACCAAAAGTAAGCCCAACAGTCTCCTTCAGAACCGGCCAGAACAGATTCCACAAGGCCGCTGGCAATGCATCAGATGACTCTAGCTCTCAGGACTGTGAGCGCCACGCCCGCGTGACCCGCCGCGCGTGACCGCCGACGGTGCGGTCACGGACAGCCGACACTGACCATCTCGTAGATGCAGACAGACGGGCCGATCCCGATGGCCAGATAGATGAGCGTGCCCAGAAGTTTGTAGCGCTCGTGGAACAGCTGCTGGTACAGGATGCCCAGGCCGGCCAGGATCCACACGGCCCACCTGCGGCGAGGGCCGGGTCAGCAAGTCGCTGCGGGCTGGCTGCGCACTAGAGAAGACTGCGTTTACTAGCTGCGCGTGTGGAATTATGTGCATATGTACACACACACACACACACACACACACACACACACACACACACACACACACACACACACACACACACACACACACACGCACGCACGCACGCACGCACGCACGCACGCACGCACGCACGCACACATGCACGCACGCACGCACGCACGCACACACACACACACACACACACACACACACACACACACACACACACACACACACACACACACACACACACACACACACACACACACACACACATATATATATATATATATATATATATATATATATATATATATATATACATATACACACAGATAGATATGTATATATGGCATAACTGTGTACAGGGGACATTAGCAATGATGCCGAGTGGTCTTCCGATCTACTGCGCCTGAAACCCTACAAGACACTGCATTCAACCAATGACGTACCTACAGCATGGACGAAACATGCATCCAAATTTCTAACCCAGCTGTTTGTTATGACATGGAATGGAGTCGCAGGCAACAAAATATCCCACAAGTGTTTTTTTGGCCTCCTATATCGCGCCCTACAGCAGTGCCTGTTTGAAACCGGCACTGCTGTTGAAAGCAGCGCTCTGTGCGAGCTTGCCACTGGTGATCTTGCCGCTTATTGCGAGGCACGAAAACATTCTCTATCAGTACGTTTTCGGTAGAGTAGATGTTTAAAGTTTTTTCCACGCCCACTTTGGTGGGCGCTGGAAATGTTAAGGTTTAAGCACGCGTTTAGAAGGTTTAGGTGTGAGCACGCGTGCACCCACCCAGCCGACTCCGTTTCGTATACCCGCTCAACTACATTTGTAATGAAAGCCGCATTGTTGTTTAAGAGGACGCCTCGTGACGTCACAAGTACACAGGAGAGTAAAGACCGCCGCCGTACACACAATAACATCAGACCATGGCTGTACCGAGGGAGCATAACGAACGAGTCTTCCTCCGAGTCCAGCGCGGTGCCAGAAGACGCAACGCGTGCTGACCTGAGGTGGATGACCCAGCCAGAGTCCGGCACCTCCTTCAGCACCAGCCAGGGCGTGTAGGAGGAGGCGATGAAGATGTAGATGACGCCGCGGTCCATCCGGTGCAGCACTTCCCGCCAGACGCTGATGACGTCATGTCGCACATCACACAACGCAGATCGAAAAACGCAAACGAATACAAAAGACGGAGAAGAACACAGGTAGGCGAAAGCACGGTCGCCGCAACTCTGAGACTCAACTTCTGTAAGTGGGCTGAGCCTTGGCCGTTGTCGTAATCCTTCCTGGCGGCAACACGTTCTGTTGTTGTTCTGGGGCGACACGTTCACGTTCGACAAGTTGGATTGGTCGAGTTGGATGAGTCGCGATGCAATGGATGTGCTCACAGTTTGCACGCCGCAAGACAGGTTAAGGGCTGCACCGCGCTGTACTATGCGGCGCATATGGAAGCGCACGCCGTTCCAATGCCCGCAAAACATGACGTAGTTCCAGGAGGGACCTCGGCTGAGAGGGGCGTCCGGTGCGGCGGGCTCCGTGTGGTGTACAATATATTAAGTCCTGCTCTGGACCCAGTATTACATCAATACGGATCCCTCAATATTCTTTCACAATCCACGGGAGCGAGAGGAGGGTCATAAACTAGTGGAAGCTAATGGAAGACTGGTCAAAAGCAGTGGGCGCCCTTGACAAGATGTTCAAGATCTATGAGGGACCTGATTTAACTTCCGATGTAGCACTAATCCAAATAGAGGAGCAAGCTTGAAAGACGATGTCAAGCCAAGCTCTGCCTGGCTTTGCATCTGATGTAAACCTGCCCACATTTAATAACCGAAATAGACTCGGTCTCTGATGTATTCCCGTCCCCCTGAAAACCAGCCTCTGATATAATCCTGTCAACACCAAAAGCGGTAACAAGTACAAAGCGGTAGCTATCATGCAGACACGAAAAACTGCTGATTCCACACGCTCAAAGGCAACACAGAATAAGACAGTTCGATGATGAGACACAATCCGACTCACTAGGGCGTGTCGAAGACAGAAAACGACGCGGTGTGCACAGGCATTTTGGATATCGGGTAGAATGACATCCATTCGGACATTGTCGTCCGTTTTTAAAGTGGACGGGATGTGGGCAGGGTAGTCTAGATAGCCAAATACCCTTTGTCATCACAGTAGCGTTTGGCTGGTTAAGACAAAGTCCCCAAGTTATATGCCAAATGTTTCATTTAATAAATTGATTGCTTCAAAATCACGAAACATCTGTACAATGCTGTTTCACATAAGGGCATTGGCAGAAAACCCGAAAAGATGCTTAGGTGTCATGTAGCGCATAGAAAATGAGCGAAATGAGCTCCCACAAAAAAATACCGCACAGAATATATAGGCAAACTTGAGTGTCATGCATTGAAGTCTGCCTACGTGCAGCTTAGCATCTCGAAGCGATGTGAGAAGATCAGTGAGTAACCCACAAATATACCTAGCCAGCAAACGCAACTTACGGCCCTTTTATATTTCTACAAGAAATTAATTTTTATATAAGAATCAAGGAACCCACAGCACATGTCATCACACCAAACAGATTTAAACAGCAGAAGGAGCCCCGATCAGCACTGCTGTCAGTTGTCACGCGGTATAAAACGGCCAGATCAATAATGCTAGCAAAAACCTTCTCACAAGCCACCAGCCGGTGTTGCAATGAGGAGTTCGTGCAAAGCCATGCGGTGAGCGTTCAGAGAAGATAGTTACCAACAAGACAGGATCACAGTACACTGAAATATCACGCACAATCAGGCATCATTGCTGACGATACTTCACAACAAGCACTACGAAACAGAGCTGAATTACCAATACTTCGTTTTAAATGACTTTCGATTCCCGGGAGTCATTTTAGTCTTACCTTAAAATTGGCCATGAACAACTGCAGCAACCAATGCTAAAACATCAATTTCAACACCATGCCTATAATGGTTCTGACATTTGCCATAAAATATCATAGATATTACAAGCACAAACACATAAAACACACATGGAATCGATACCAATGACAACACACAATATCTGACCAAATTTACCTGTCTTTGTAGGCAAACGAGACCAGGTGAAACACGGTTGATACAGAAAATAGAAGTACCAAGGCGGTTCCATAGATGACGCTAGCATAAGCCTCGTAGTAGACATCCGATTCTCGGTATAGACTTGTCGCGCAAAACACGCTCGGCAAAATCCAGACCTGCAAATGGAGAAAGCTTCAAATAATTTGTCATTTCGAAACGAAACTGTTCTCACTACATCAGTAAACAACTCAGAACACAATTCTAAGTTTTAACACAAACTAAAGACCAGTCCCGAATATGCATCACATTTTCCCAGCCCCCGGGGTAGGATCATGTGTTTCACCACTGCTGGAGAGGGTGGCAGGCGGGGGAGAGATATTATAACGCAAAGATTGTGTGACAAAAGATCGCATTGAAAATGACGTAAGCCATGAATTGTGCGACAAATGCTGTATAGCAAAATGTGCGTGACAAAGGTCGGGCAAAATGATCGCTGAAAAAGATCGCCGCCCAAAAGATCACATAAGATAGCAATCGTTACAAGTCAGTCTTACTCTTCCTTTGAAAAGTACGCAATGCCTACGGCATTGTAGAAGCCTGTGTGGTACTCATTTAATTCCGTCCAACTGGTGAGGAGAATGGGCTACAGACGACGTCGTTTGTCGGGCCGGCGCCAGCTAAACACAACGAGCATGTTACGTCTACGTTGCGTAAATCTACAAGGTCGTGCACAAGAAAGGAGGACGCTCGCGCGACCTTTGTCACATTCGACCATTATTCCGTATGAACTAGCCATTCTGATCTTTACCTCCCGCGCCTGTGCAGTGTCGTGTCCCGTTTGCCCCGCGTCTGACGCGGCGGCTCGCGGTAGGCCGTGGCGATCGGCCCGGCCGGGATCACAAAGTTATAGCCTGCGGCGCCACACGAATGGCCGCTGGACGGGCGCGGTGCGAGCGGCGGTGTGTTTGGACTGGAGACACGTGTTGAGAACGCACGATTCACTTGAGTTCTGTTCGTAAAAGCAATATAAGTTTATTGCCAACGGACTATGTGGAGTAGCGACAACGGAGCGAGATGAAATGCTAGCCTCCTACTCCATGCAATTTTAGACATGCGATCTTCAGCCCATGTTTCCATTACGACTGATCATGTAACGTTATTGAGCTGGTACTTCCATTTATGCGATTTATATTTCGTATTATCCTTCGCATCGCGCCGCATATTAAGAAATCATGCTCGCTATTTTTGGCACACAATCTCTCGCTTGCGATTTTTCATAACACGATATCTTAGCCACTTACCCTGTCCCTCGGCGGGAAGGGCGGGGGGGGGGGGGGGGGCGAGAGACCCGGGAAATCATTCTCGTCCATTTTTCACCAATACCTTTACGATACCTCACGTCAACACGTCAATGGCGTTAAATGAAAAGAAACTCACACAACAACCTTTATTCTGAAGACGCATGCCCCGTCGCCCAGCGACCAACCCGTGTCCACCCGCTTAAACGCTCGCCCCATCAAACACCTCAGAAAATTGATCAAAGTCGTATTACCCCGTGGGTGAGGATGTTCGCCACGTGCTCGACATCCGTCGGTACGTATGCCTCGTTTCCGCGCACACGGTCATTCTTCCACTTGATTCTGTTGGGGATGAAGAACAGCGTCACGAAAAATATGACGATGCTCGAGCACTGAAACGAACTGCATTGTGAGTGACTCTTGTCCAATCATGGTTCTGTTGGGGATGAAGAACAGCGTCACCAAAATATGACGATGCTCGAGCATGAAACGAACTGCGTTGTGAGCGACTCTTGTCCAATCATGGTTATCACATTAGGAACACTCACAGTTCAAAAGATTCAGGATGTGTGCTTTATAGGCAGCCAGCTGTGCTAACGCACATCGCCAACATACGTTGCTTGCAGATTCATAATATTTCTGTAATTCTACGTCATGGATGCGGATCCCAGAAATTTGGCGACGTTAAAATGGCAGCATCACACTTCTAATTCTGGCCAAAACACGAATCTGGTCACAAATGAGACAAAGAAGCAACCACATTTCACCACTGTACTTTCACTTTATCAATCTACACTGGACTACTCACTGTTTAAAGATGCGGGTGTATTCCAACACCCAGTATAAAAGGCTGCGGCTCTGGGGCTTGTCCATTGACTGCAGTTATGGCCTGCAACATAACATCCAGGGAAATCAAATCTGCTTTTACATAGCTGGCACACCCAAATATGTGTTTCTGGTTGTGACAACAATGCATTCTGAGCCCAAAGGAGTCTTCAAACACAAAATCAAGTATGCAGGATGCTTGAGCACCATTTTATAGCATTTAAGTCTGGGTCTCACAAGATTTATTGTTTTGCAGCAAACTGAGCTCTGAAATAAAATCAAACACTTATTACACAAATTGTTCAATCAATGCAGGCAATGGAATGCACTTCAGGGATTGTACAATGCAATTACAGTCAATACACACTTATTCAATCTTACTAAAATGTGATTAATGAAGAACAAGAACATTTTCAACCATTACACAATGAAAGGCCGCTGTGATGTTAAAGCATCTGCGATCTGTCTGCAGACTATCTGAAGCAACAACAACAGACTGTATGCATCCTGAAGGAACAAAAAGCTACCCTCCCAAACTCTTCACAATGCAAAGCTGTTCAGGCTCTGCAGACTGTCATGATGCATAGACTGATGGCATACTACCTTATCTCATTGGGCCTGATTGTCTGGGTTGTTGAAATTCATGGGCCCTTGATAGAGCATCAAGGAAAGCATCTGAACAGTTACTAGTACTCAGGGCTATTGCCAGGGCTTTGGAGACATTGATACTTTGCACACAGACAATACATAACTGCAGTTGTCGTAGTCAATGATGGTCCCAATTTTAAGTGGCTGCTGTGTTCTCTGGAGCAGACTGGTGGCTTAAATATAGTATAAACACAATGCTTTGCATATAAATAACAAACCTGCTGTGTGGCACATGATAATACTGACAAGAGTCAATGCTGCCCAACATGAGGCTAGTCCAATTTTTGCACATGCATCATCTTATACCAGCAACTCCAGTACCCATGGTGACACACATACAACAATGTGTGGGCATTACCATACCACCACATTGGACCTAATCTCTCCCGCGAGTTGAATCACAGGTTGTTCTTGTGCTGTGCTTTGCATCACCACAATGCACCACAGATCTCTTGGGGCCAGCAGTGCAGAGTGACCAACTCCCAGGTTCATTGGTGCAGTCACCAGCTCCTAAGTTCAGTTTTATCAGGTTCAAGGGTGCAGAGTTACCAGCTCCAATCAACTGTACATGGCTGAGAAGATCCTGAGCCCAGGGAACACATGCCTTACACTTTATAGCTTATTCTTCCACATCCTTGACTGCCAATTATCACAGAAGTGGCTGCATTAATGTCCATGAAGGCTAACTCACCTTTCCAGTAATAGCAGCCATCTCACAGAGAACCTTTTTTCTATGTCATACTCTTATCATACTTTTGTATGAAATTCATAGGCAGTCACTCCAAACCATAGCTTGACATGTCTGTTGCTCCCAAAGCTTTGTGGGTATGTTGTTGCATGCTTAAAATATATCACCTATCAATTGTGTTAACACTGAAATCCATACCTGGTCCTGGTATCTTCCAAAGAAAGCTGCAAGTGGTAGGTGCTGGCAAAGATGACAGGTCATTGCCAAAGGCCATGTTTGGTATTCTGAGCTCACCATCAATGAGTTGTGATGTCACAGCAATTGATGACCTGATTAGTAGCCCACAGAGGTGGTTAATACTGATAGTTGGTAAAATGCTTGCATCTAACATCCTAATGGCTCATCAGTGATATCTTGACTCCCTTGCAGGTTGAATGTGTGACTGTACTTCAGTGGCACAAAGTTGTTAAATATCTTATTTTCAGAAACATTGATCATGTTTGAGGCAGACATGCCAAAATATGCCTCTAGTTAATATAAATTATAAGAACATTGAGCTCTTGTGCTAGTCATTATTGCACTTGCCCAAGGTAAGGAAATCTTGTCAACATGTACAGTTGGTCCATGTACAGATGTCAGTAGCATGGAAGCATCATCACAGTTTAATGCTAAAGAAAACAAGGACACTGACACAATACATCATTAAGTACCACCACAAATACAGTGAAGATGGGCTGCAACATAACTAACTCACCAGAAGACTTCAAACACATACACTTTACACTTCACATATTCAAAGTAGCAGGCATATCATGAAAACAATCTCAGCATTTCAGCACATGTACATTATAGATACCAGTGCTTAGAGCTCAAAATTTGGGACAGGACTGGCACCAAATTCAGGGCACAAAGTGATTATGCTTTACTGACTTGTGACACTGCAAAAATAATTTCAGGCAAAAATAATCACAGCACATTTTTGTCGAGAACATTCCGTCAATGGTCAGAGCAACTTGACCAGACCAGAGTTTGGCACAAGCATGCCTGAGGTTTGGTACACTGATATTGCATACGGCATCCAGCACAGTGAATGGATTTCTGCAGATTGAGCTGACAACACATGTTATCACTGCAGTTACCTTTGGAAGTGCACCTCAATAGAAAGATTGGCGGGGATGTTGAAATGTCTCAAAATGCCATGTTTCAGCATGCAAATGGCAGATCTTCACGAAAATGTGAACTCTAGTAGCCCCTAAATCCTGCTTCTCTGCCCATCAGTACAACTCTGGGTTTCCAGAAAAACCCGTTAGATAATGTAATGTAATCCACACAGCTACAACGCCGCAGCCCCTCCCGCAGCTACGGGCGGACGGCCCATAAAGCAACCAGAACCATGATCAGGAAAGTAAAGCCATACGATATTACGAAACCTCATGTTTGTCAACAGTGCGCCATACTTCACTAGCAGATATTTTTCACGCATCAAAAATATGCCAGCAATTTAAGCTACCAAATTGCATGTTCATGACGCACCAAATACAAAAGTGGGGGGTTGGGTCCAATGCTAAAGTTGTTACTTACGCTTGGGGTTTCCTCGGGCTTCAAGTCCGTGGGCTGGAGGTGTCTGTCCGTGTGGTAACTGCATCCACAAAGTTGGAACGTTACCTGTCCAAAGTCCCAAACAGGACAGGTATGAACGTTCAGGGACAGTGTAGTTCAGCCAGGATATTGTCGGCTTTGAGTCTGTCAGCATTCCGTCAATCTGCAGGCTGGATTCAGTCGTAACTCTGTATCCCAGGTGACCAGGCCAAAGGCCAGTTCAGGAACGGGTGACTGCCTTCTCATTCATGCCGATAAACCTAAAACATGGTTAGCAGGAGTTAAAACTGAAAATCACGGTCTTTCATGCATTTCCATTGAAAGCTTGGTAATCATCACTAGAACAATTGGTGAGACCAGCATTGGGAAACTGCTGGCAGAGCATAAAGCCTGGTCTGAGTGATGGCACACTGAAGACAGGAACTGTAGCCAGGTTTGTGTTAATGAGATAGCCTGTAATCAAAATAATTCAAGTCTTTGCTTACTTTTAAATTATGTATCCTCTAATTTAGTACCTTCTGTTAGGTTAAACAACACAGATTTTGACACATGCCACACAGTCAGCATACCATAGCGAACATGCTGACAAGATGTTTGAGGCAGGCATAATTATTTCCCAACAAGAATGATAAACTGTCCCATCTGGGGAAAATTGGACTAACCTTCTTGCTCCCCAAAACCTGATGTACTCATGTGTGCTGTCAATTTTTATGATCTAGCTACTTTTCACAGTGCAAGTTATCTGTATCACAGTGCAAGTTATGCTGCTCTCATTAGTCCAATTCAACAGTCTTTGTCACAGTTTTAATAAGACATCCCAAATTAGACATTACACCCCACCTCTCCCCAACAAGGTCTTGTGAAAGCCTACCATGGTTTGCTTGCAGACAGGCATGTAAATACTGTGTAGGCTTTTACATATGCTGTTCACATATCCTTAAATGATGCCTAAGACTAATTTCATGAAATGGGTTAGGAGGAGAAAACCTTCAAAGCCAATTGGCATGGTTGTGGGAAAAGTCATGTAATGTTCGCCACTCTTGCCAGGACTAATGCTATGTTACAGTATAGCTTAGTATTAGTCTTAGTATTTAGTATTATTTTATGTCTTCTATTATTAGTATTAGTCCTTGTTGCTTTAAAATATAGGCTTATGCTTTCCAGGACTTCTGAGCTTATAGCAGTTATGATGTAGTCTGAGGACAACACTTTCATGCTCCAACTCAATTCATTCATTCATTCATTTACCATTCAGGGCTCCAACTCCATTCAGGTCTCCAGGGCAGATTCAGGGCTCCGATAGTACTTTGAGGTTTGCCATGGTTCTCTCCATTTAGTGCCTCAAACCTAATGTAGAAGTCTAAAAAAAAATTGGGAAGGTTTTTTGTTTTTTTCAAAAAAATTGGGAACATTTTTTTTGTTTGCAACACTGCCATTGACTACTGCACCACAATGACCTAACCAACAGCTTGTTCACTACCTGAGATAGACACGCATGCCACTCAAGTGATCAGGCTGAGAGGATTTGTCATGCCTGTTTCTTTCTTACAGTATTTCTTTTGCTGTTAATATTTTGACCAAATCACCACACAGGTATTTGTTTATAGGTCATATGATCTGGTGTGATGTATTCAGTGGTGACATACCTCCCCTGCAAGCATCTATCTTACAGGGAAATGGATATAGCAGAAAATATCATTGTTACTTAGAGTTGCAAAGTTATGTCTGTTTTGCAACATGTCATCATGTTTGGGATGCATCTGCCACCAGCCAGCAGGATATGATAGAGATGTTTCTGATGCTACAGTAGCAGTATGCTTACTCAAATTGGCTTTCCAAGCTTGGATTTAGGTAAAAAAAAAACATCATGCATGCATTTAGTAACTCCAGTTTGATATGTGGTGTAGGCCCTAAATTAACTTCAGTTACTGCTTGGCATTTCCCAATGATGAACAGGTCTCTGACAGAAACAGCAAAGCCCTGCCAATTTCCTCCTTCCATCTGCTACACGTCGGTGTAGTCCTGACATAGTACTTCCCGCTTTGCCCGCCAGATGTCAGCAGCGAAGCAGCGACCTGGTCGCGTGTGCGTGGTCGTGCTGGGCGACGTGGGCCGCAGCCCGCGTATGTGCTACCACGCCCAGTCGCTGGCGCAGCGTGGTCACCACGTGGACGTGGTCGGCTACCTGCGCGACGAGGGCAGTGAGCTCAGTGTGGCACGCGTAGCTTCCGTCTACCCCCTGCGTCCCGTGCCGAGCTGGGTCAGCGGTGAGACTCGGGTTGGGGTTCGGGCTCGTTGTTCGGGCTCGGGTTCGGATTCGGGTTCGGGTTAGGGTTCGGGTTCAGGCTCAGTCTCAGGTTCAGGCTCGGCTTGGGTTCGGGTTCGGGTTAGGGCTGGCGTTCAGGCTCGAGCTCGGGTTCGGACTCGGATTCGGGCTTGGATTCGGGTTCAGGTTTGGGCTTGGGTTCGGGTACGGACTCGGGCTCAGGCTCAGGTTTGGGCTCGGCTCGGGTTCAGGTTCGGGTTGGGGTTCAGGTTCGGGTTCACCCGCGCCAGGTGGAGGTTCATGTCGAACGGTTTGCGGCTCGCGGCGCTTCGTTTGACGGGATTGCGTGGTACAGACGCAGGGAGGAGGCAGTAAAGAAAGAAAAGGGCGTAAAAGGGGTAAAGAAATGCCGCGGTCGGTGCCGCCGGAAAGGTCCAGCTGTCGCTCCAGGACAGTGCGAGACGGCGCTTCCAACCGCCCTTATAGCCCGCACCCAGCTGGGAGAAGGGGTGGGGAGGGGTAGGCAAGGTCTGCCACGCGTCACGCTCCGGCGACTGCGGAGTTACCGTCCACCGTATGTTCACCACTGACCTGATGTGCGGGCTCCTCTGTCATTGTGCAAGCGATCGTGCGAGGTCGCCTCCCGGTCCCAGCGGGTCCGGCGTGTCATCCCTCCTCCCATGTGTCGCGTCAGGCTGTCTTCGCCTGCCTCTTCCCCTGCGGCGATCGCTGAGGCTGCGCTCCTGTGCGCCGGCAGGCTGTCCGCGGCTGCTGGCCTACCTGCTGAAGGCCCTGTGGCAGGCGGCGGTGCTGTTCGCGTTTCTGATGACGTTGCCTCGCTTCAACAGCCTGCTGCTGCAGAATCCGCCGGGCGTGCCCACGCTGCCGGTCAGCTGGGGCGGGAGACCCTGATGTTAAGGGCAGGCCCTGATTTTTAGTGGAAGTCCCTGGTGTTTGTGGGGAGGGGGGGGCGACCCCGATGTAAATAGGGAGACCCCGGTATTTGGGAGAGATCTGATATGAAGGGTGACACCCTAATACCAAGGGTCACTTTATGTAGGGAGAGATCATGATGTTTAGCAGGAACCATGTTTTGGGAAGACCGGTATTTCAGGGGAGACCATGATATTAAGGGCGATACCGTGATGTTAAGGAGGCTACGATATTTAGGGGGAGAGACCATAATGTTTAGTGGGAAACCGTGACGTTCAGGGGAGACCACGGCGTTTAGGGAGATGTCATAATGTTTACGGAAGCATGATATGTAGGAGACAATTATGTTTAGGGAGAGAGACCGTGATGTTTGAGGGGAGGCCTTGATGTGTAAGGGAGACCTGGATGTTTAGGCGAGACCATGATGTTTTGGGGAAACCATGATGTTTTCAGTGGGAGACCGTGGCGTGTAGTGGGAGACCATGATGTTTTCAGTGGGAGGTCGTGGCGTTTAGTGGGAGACCATGCTATTCAGGGGAAGACCGTGATGATCAGGGGAGACTGTGGTGTTTAAGGCGAGACCGTACTGACCCGTTGCGCCGGGTCGGCGCGCTATCCTAACGTTGCCGTGTCTGCTAGGTGAGCTGGCTAGCCTGCCGGCTGCGGCGCGCCAGGCTCATCATCGACTGGCACAACTACTCCTACACCATCATGGCGCTGAGCGTGGGCCGACAGAACCTCCTCGTCAAGCTGACCAAGTGCGTGCCGCCGACGCCGTTGTGGGCTCTTCGAAGCATGCGCTTATTTCTTAAACAACAAAAAACTGAAACGGATGGAATGTGGTGCGTGTTTTACGATGCACTGTGATGTGGTTGGGTATGATATGACGCATATGATGTGTAATGTTTGCAACAGTGGATGTGGTACACGCCTACAGAGAACGATTGGTGTCCATAACGATCTTCTGCAGAGAAAGAGTCTGTGCGTACTGCAACAGACTGCAGTATACAGCTGTTGATAACCTCTCATAGAACCGTGACGTAGCTTCAGGCGGACTGCCGCCCGTGGCAGCGATTGCGGTCACCGGCGGGCCAGACCCCGTTCCCAGCCGCGCCTCGTGACGTTCCCTGTCCCCCAGATGGCTGGAGTCGGCGTTCGGCCGCAGGGCGGACGCGAACCTCTGCGTTACGGCCGCCATGCAGGAGGACCTGGCCAAACACTGGGGCATCGTGTGAGTACCCATATGCAGATGCAGATGTGCTGCAGGTACCTTGTATGAAGGCTGATGCTTAGTTCGCATTTAACGCATGCTGTGGAGATTTAGTTTTGCGCTGCTACCCCTGCCCCTGCCCCTGCTCCGGCCCCGGCCCCGGCCCCGGCCCCGGCCCCGGCCCCGGCCCCGGCCCCGGCCCCGGCCCCGACTATCATCGCTGCTGGCGCCACTGTCGGCAGGGCGTCGCCGCTGCACGACCGTCCGGCAGCCCGGTTCCGGCCAGTGCCACCCGAGGAGACGCACGAGCTGTTCGTGCGTCTCGGCAAGCTGTACCAGGCGTTCAGCACGACGGTGCCCGACCGGACCGCCTTCACTGAACGGTCAGTGGTGCCGCGACGGCCGACCGACGGCGTGTGATGACGTCATGGTCAGCGTGTGTCCCGTGCAGTGTCCAGGTCAGGGCGTCTCGTGGCAAGTGTTCATATACCTTGGATTGCATGTGAAAGTTTCATTACGACGAACATCGAGAAAGGAACTGTTGTGCGGAGGCCTTTTTTGATCTGTAAATCAGAAATGTCATGACAAATTTCCAAAACGGATATCGGTGTAAGTTTTCGGGTATGAGCCATTCGGAAAGAAATCAACCAAAACACTGCCCAGAATGTTTTGTATCCAATACCATACTTGTTTTTTTATATAATAACATGTTTTTGGTTAAAGGACCTTTGGCTACAGTGTAGTGCCTATCTAATCTGTTCTGCAGCCTAGCATCGATGGCATAACCTAGCGGGCTTCATCTGACTCGTCGCCGTGTGGCTTCGCTGTGCGATGGCAGGCGGTCATGCCTCACGCCTATGTCAGAGCGCTGCTTGTTCGAATTGGACCGGCCGCGGTGTGTAGTGTTTGTGTCGTTGTTATGTTGCCCCTGTCTCTCCATAGTCCTACGGGCGGTCAGTCCTCACCCGTGTCTGTCCCCGCCTCTCCACAGTCCCACGGATGGTCAGTCGTCACCCGTGTCTGTCCCCGCCTCTCCACAGTCCCACGGATGGTCAGTCCTCACCCGTGTCTGTCCCCGCCTCTCCACAGTCCCACGGATGGTCAGTCCTCACCCGTGTCTGTCCCCGCCTCTCCACAGTCCCACGGATGGTCAGTCGTCACCCGTGTCTGTCCCCGCCTCTCCGCAGTCCCACGGATGGTCAGTCCTCACCCGTGTCTGTCCCCGCCTCTCCGCAGTCCCACGGATGGTCAGTCCTCACCCGTGTCTGTCCCCGCCTCTCCACAGTCCCACGGACGGTCAGTCCTCATCTGTGTCTGTCCCCGCCTCTCCACAGTCCCACGGATGGTCAGTCCTCACCCGTGTCTGTCCCCGCCTCTCCACAGTCCCACGGATGGTCAGTCCTCACCCGTGTCTGTCCCCGCCTCTCCACAGTCCCACGGATGGTCAGTCCTCACCCGTGTCTGTCCCGCCTCTCCTGCAGTCCCACGGATGGTCAGTCCTCATCTGCGTCTGTCCTCGCCTCTCCACAGTCCCACGGACTGGTCAGTCCTCACCCGTGTCTGTCCCGCCTCTCCATAGTCCCACGGATAGTCAGTCCTCACCCGTGTCTGTCCCCGCCTCTCCACAGTCCCACAGATGGTCAGTCCTCACCCGTGTCTGTCCCCGCCTCTCCACAGTCACGCGGACGGTAGCGTACGCCTGTTTGATGATCGGCCCGGCTTGCTGGTCTCGGGGACCAGCTGGACGGAGGACGAGGACTTCTCCGTCCTCCTGCACGCTCTGCAAGGTAGGTCACGTGGCAGGTGGAGTTGCTGTGTGTATGAAAAAAACGCCGTCCTACACGGCCAGTCGATGATGTTGTTATTGGTGGTGGAGGAACTTGCCTTGTCGACTTCGGTTTTGACGGTGGGAGGCATTCCTGTGCCACCCAGGTCGCGCTCTTCTGTGTCAGTTGATATTTGTAAGTGGTTGATGGCAACATAATTTCCATTGTGAACACGTAAATGTTGTGGACGTGGACTCAGACGTAAACGTGGACGTGCCCGTGGTCGTAGACGGAAACGGGGACGGGTAGGCCGGTAAGCTGGGGACCCGTTGCGCTGCGCCAGGCAATGCACTAGTGTTACTGCAAGCCGGCCATGGACCATGTTCGGGTTTCACCCAGGAAGATACCCTGCAGGGCATCTTGATACCCAGCAGGGCATCTTGATACCCAGCAGGGCATCAAGATACCCTGCTGCTCACGCAGCCCGCTGTCCTTAATCGGTGTGTCACGATGAAAGCACCTGGTTGGCTTGCGGCAAACTAGACGAGCATTGTTAGTCCGCACGCATGGTGGACATCTTCTGTGTCTAGTCTTGCCAGGCGGAGTAGCTGGGGAGAACGAATTGCTGCGTTTGTGAGTGCTGAGTCGGTTCACTATCAAGAGTGGAGGTTCCTTTACAGCGGTGTCCTGAAAGGCTGCCGCTTCTTCCACATTCCCCTCACGTTCTTTCCTCCTGTGTGCCTGCCTTTGCATGCTTCGCTATACACATCCGGGTTTCCGTACTGTCTCATCTCCCGCCTCCGCCCTGCCCCCGTCCCCGTCCCCGTCCCCGTCCCCGTCCCCGTCCCCGTCCCCGTCCCCGTCCCCGTCCCCGTCCCCGTCCCCGTCCCTGTCCCCGTCCCGTCCCCGTCCCCGTCCCCGTCCCCATCCCCGTCCCCGTCCCCGGATGGGCATCCTTCCGCTCTGTTTCCTCGGCCGACCAGCTGTGTCCGTTGCCTGACCGGTGTTCTTACCTTCCAGAGTACGAGACGACGCGGGAGGAGCGGCCGCACGAGCTCCCCCGCCTGCTCTGCGTCATCACCGGTCGGGGACCGCTGAAGCAGTTCTACTGCCAGCTCATGGAGCGCAAGAACTGGAACCACGTGGAGGTGCTGACCCCCTGGCTGGCCGAGGACGATTACCCGCGGCTGCTCGGTAAGGCTAACCTGCCCGCGTTGACGACTGCCGTAGTGGTAAACCGTCTTCAGCCTGCAGGAAGACGTTGTGCGTAGTTCCGTGAACTGCCACGGTGGGATCAAGCTTCCGCTTTAGATGTTGAGGGTGGGAGCGCCTGCTGCTGCTGTGCGTTCTGTAGTTTCGGGTCCTAAGCTCAGAGCCCAAGGAGCGAATGCGCCATTGCGCATGAGTTGTACCTTTGATCTGCGGGGTTATTGTGGCAGCCTGCTTAGCACAAACTCACCATTTTCTGAAGCATGCTCAAGAGCGATTTTAACTCAAAGCCGCACTCTGACTTAATTTTAAAATGGCACCAGTAGAGAGGGCCGTGCACATTTACTATGCTGCTTACTTGGCAGCTGTAGAGACTTGCGTCAGGGACCAGCATTTGATAGATATGCACTACGGAACGTGTCAACGCCCACCTTCTATGGTGATGTGTGCAGACTCGGTGACTGGTTATGGAGTGAGCTGCACTCCCACTTCTTTTTCGGTGCACGTATCATCCGATGATTTGGCTGTGAGTGCTTGGCAGTGCTGCAAATTATCTGCTCGCGTAGGGTTTGCGAATTGCCTTTGTTCAGAGACCGTTCCTTTACAAACAGCACGTCTTTCGTCCCGTTACGTCGTCAAGCTTTGAGGCTGTGCTGCCAGCTGACGTTTTATACCGTCACCTGCACAAGTTACCCTCCCGGTGGATGTGCTGTGTGTGGTGACGACCAGTACAGTGACGCTAGTGTAGTGGCGCCGCGTACGGTAACACGGGTACTTTAACAACGTCTTGGCTGTACTCAGCAAGTGCTGTCTTGTACAATACACGCTGTTCTGATCCGCTTTCACCGTAGCCGTCACACTCGCTGGACAAACCAGAGGGCTCAACGAACTTGCGGTTAGCCCAAAATACATTCAGGCGATCATCCGTCCCAGTACGGGCTTCGTAGTACAGGATCAGTGTAAAGCAAAACTGAGGTGAGCGAAACGAAAATGACATCACGTGCAAAGAGGACGCGGGCCACGTGCTCGGCGTGAGCGGCCGTGGCGACCGACCGTGCGCGACGCCGTGGCCCTCCGACGGCCGCCGTTGGTGGCCTGCGTCGCCGCTCGCGGCTGCCCCACCGGCGTCCGAGTAACCCTGCTGTGGTCCGAGTGACCCCGCTGTGGTCCGAGTGACCCCGCTGTGGTCCGAGTGACCCCGCTGTGGTCCGACTGACCCCGCTGTGGTCCGACTGACCCCGCTGTGGTCCGACTGACCCCGCTGTGGTCCGAGTGACCCCGCCGTAGTCCGAGTGACCCCGCTGTGGTCCGAGTGACCCCGCTGTGGTCCGACTGACCCCGCTGTGGTCCGACTGACACCGCTGTGGTCCGACTGACCCCGCCGTGGTCCGAGTGACCCCGCCGTGGTCCGAGTGACCCCGCTGTGGTCCGACTGACCCCGCTGTGGTCCGACTGACCCAGCGTGTCAGGCCCAGACGGGAGCGGTCACAAGAGCCGGGGAGGGAACGGGACGTGGGTTAAATGTGACGGGAGAATTAAACCCCTAGGTGGTACACTGTTTGACTGTTGGGAGCGGGCTGGTACATGCGAGTAGGTTAACTGAATTTGGTCCTGATGGCGCATGCACGCTCGCGGCCAATCCCGTCATGTGTGAGGTTTCTCTGACGTCATAGTTTGGTTCCTGATGGCGTATGTCCGTCCGCAGCCCGCAGCCAACGCCGTCGTGTGTGAGGCTTCTCTGACGTCATACGTTGGTCCCTGGTGACGTATGTCTGTCCACAGCCAGTGCTGACCTGGGAGTGAGCCTGCACACCTCCTCCAGCGGGCTGGACCTGCCGATGAAGGTGGTGGACATGTTCGGCGCTGGCCTGCCCGTCTGCGCCTACAACTTCAAGTGGTAAAGCAGCAGCGGGTCGGTGCTGTGGGTCTGAAGGATGATCGCGTTCCGGAGGCGCAAGGGTCAGAATTGTTCGGTTGTTTTTCGACGGCCGACAGGGTCTTTAGCGACGACACCCTGGGTGGAAACGGGGCACGTGAGTTGTTGCGGTGCCCACTGCGGTTACTGCGGACACTGCGGTTTAGATCTAAACCTATACCTAAACGGTCTAAACCTTCTTTCCATCACAAGTCGACCGCATTTGGCCACTTGACCACGTGGTCTTTATAGTTTGAGACGTGCAAGGGGATGTTTCACTTTTGGCTTCGTCGGCGTTGAGCACTGACTTGGGGAATTGAGCTGACCTGACCTTATCGGGGGCATGGAAACTGGTCAGTAGAAGTGCAGCTATTTGCTCGGCGTTTAGAAATGGCTACATGCCGCCTAGAGCCATATTCAGCCTACAATCAGGCAGTTCTTTTCAACATGATGCTGTTTCGTAAAGTGATGTTTCGGCTTGCAGCTTATGGGGCATCAATTCAGCTAGGAAGAATTGGGGCCAGTCAAGTCGAAAGCCCATTTGGTTTTGTTATGGATCGTTGTGTCTCTTCGGAAGTCGGCAGCTACATGGTTTGATTCACAACTGCAACCTTTGTAGCCCTATCTCCCAATAGCGAGCGAAAGGACATAACACAAAGACCAAATGGATGGTTTCCCGCTCGGTACGATGAGTGCAGCTGATTTCGAGGAGGGGGCGGGAGTCTTCGATCGCAACTAGGACGTGGCCCGCGATCGGTGGAGCGCGCCGCCGTCTCCGTGAAAGTAAAGCGCTCGGCGCCGCCCCGAACCGTGGCCGGTCACGCGGCCGTCCGTCCAGCCGCGCTCGCCGCCGTCCGTCGGCGGCCATCGCTGCCGGCGCCGGGCTCGGATGATCATCAGATCTCGGGGGGGGGGGGGGGGGGGGCAGCGCCGGGGGCCACCGGCGGAGCCAGGGTGACAGTGGGCGGCGGGTTCTGCCCCGACGTGGCGCCGACGCCCGGGGTCTGTTTCGCCGGGGCGCCGACGCGCCGGAGTCACTGGTCTCGACGTTACAATGGCCGCGCGACGCCAGCCGGGCCGTGACGGTCGCGCCGCGTGACGCGTGACGGCCGAGCGCGTGACAGGGTGCGGGGCGCGACCGTGGCACACTGACCGCCCCGTGACGCTTCAGGTGCGGAGAGACGTGGCTTTAAAATTGTGTTGACTCGAAGTTAATTGGGTGCGGTGGTGGTGGCAATACTCCGCAGTGGGCCAGTTGTGCGACGTGTTGGGCTGCCCGCTGTCCCCAGCCGTCTTGCTGCCGTGAGTGCAGTGCGCACCACAATATTTTTCGCACACTAATACGAAGTCATTCTTGTAGGTGTAGCAATGCACTTTCAGTCATATATTTCTCGTGTGTAGTGTCAAGTTATGCAAGTAAAACCGGTCATGCGAGTTCGTTATGCGACCCGTGTGCTAGTTGATTGTATCACGTGAAGCCTATTTAATGTGTCGTCAATGTCGTAAAGCCTATTTAATCGTGTTGCATGAAGCACCGTCTGAAGCGGCGGACAGGCAGCTTTGTCAGACGCGTTGATGGCGCCGCGTGCAGATAGCGTCTGTATTTGACGTCGCCGGCCCACGAGGTTCGTCGTTTGACGTCATTAGTCCGCCGCCGTGACGTCACCTCCGCCGGATTCAGCCCGACGTAGTGTACTAGCCGTGCTCTTATGATGTCATCGTGACGTCATCCCGCGTTCCAGCCTTTCGGAGCTGGTGCGGCACGGCGAAAACGGCTTCGTCTTCAGCTCGTCCAGCCAGCTGGCGGAGCAGCTGATCGCGTGGTTCCGAGGTTTCCCGCACAGCCAAGCAGATGGCGGGTCTGCGCCGCCGCTTCCGAGAGCAGATCGCCGCCTTCCGCCGTCAGGGCTGGGACGAGAACTGGGGCCAGCGCGCTGGTCACCTATTCGAAGTGTGACCTCTCTTAGGGCGGGGCTGGGGGCGTGGCATTCTGTAGGGGTCATCGGGCCAGGCACTGAGGGGGGGGGGGAACGTGACCTCATCGACAGGGGCTGAGCTGTGGGGCGTAACATGCGGGGGGGGGGGAGGACCTCCGATAACTGACAGATTTGAGCAGAGCTAGCTGACACAGCTCGGGAACAGGCCGAAGGACTTCCGTGTGAGGCATCAGAGCTGGGGCCAATGGCAACGGCGGAGGGATGTGGTTATAAACAGCATGAGGAGCTTCGCGCCAGGCCACTACGTAACGTCATTGTGATGTATTTGGACGTGGCGTTGTCGTGACGCTATTGGACGTGACGTTATCGTGACGCTATTGGACGTGACGTTACGCACGGCTGTATCGACAGCGGAGTTGTTGAGTCCATGTCCGGAGACGGTCGTACGTTCCGCTGTGCGGAGGCGCGGCTGGCCCACGGACAGGCCTGCTGTACCTTGTGAGGAGGAGGGGGTGGATGGGTCACCCGGGGCACCGATCTGAGGCGTGACGTCGGACCGCTCGAGGAGTCCGGCGGCCACGGGAAAGGTGCAGACGTCCGGCGGTGGTCCGCGTCTCGAGGGGACCACTGGTCCAGCGTTGGAAACGCGGGTTAGCCCCGGGGGGAGGGGGGGGGGGGGGCACTGATCCAGCAATGGAACCACTGCTCCAGCGCCGGTACCACTGGCGCACGCTGAGGGTCGCGGTGGTGCTGACGGTGCCCTGAGGAGGAGGGAGTGGAGCGAGGCTTGCGGGTCACAGGCGCGGGTTGCATGCCTCCGCTTGCTAACGGTTTGAGGTGGGGTGGGGTTGTGCGAGTCGTTGGGACGTCAGAGCTCTGTGGCGGACTGACGGCGTGTGGTTCGTTTAGCAAGTGACGTGGTTGTCTAGGGCGTACTTAAACCCGCAGCGGCGTTGGCTGAGATAACAGCGGCTGCGTCAAAATGAAGCTGGAGATGCTCCCTCGCTCATGTGCCTTCCCCAGATGCTTTGTTATAACCAAGAGAATACACATTGTTATTGGTGAGGTTTCAAATTGTCGTGACGATTTTCACCAGGTGTGAGAGGTACTGTGACTGAGTGGACCATGTATATTCCAGGAAATGTAGTGTGCCGTGTGGTTTGCATTCAATGCACGAATTGTGCCGACATCTGTTTGTCGCTTTCATGACCCTTGCCGAAATGGGAGTATCGCACTTCTTGTGGCGTATTCTTGCAGTGTACAGTTTATTGGATTTTTTTCCACAAATGTGATTGGAGCGTTACATTTTGTTTTTCGTTTCCGTGTAGTATGCTTTTTGGTGATATAGTTGAGAGCAAGCTTATCTTTCACCATCGGTGAAGTAACCGCACGCACTATTCTTAACCAGCCACTAGACACAAGCCAGCCTCACGCTTTTCCTAATCAGCCTTTAAGTACAGGCAAGTCACGGAGATTTACTTGTCTGGGCTCGTGAGTTGATCAGAATTACGTTTGTACTTACGTCAGCCACGATTGTCCACATACTGCGTGTTTTTCGTATATCTGGATGTCCTCGCCCAATGCCGTTATAATCTGTTGCTAGTCGCGCGGGGGCACTTCAAAATGTCTCCCACGTTGTAACGTCCTTTCGCTAGGCGTTTCCGTGTGATGCATGGTTGACCCGATTTTTTCACATCCGGAATAACCCAGGATTCCCTTTTTTGACGGATGCGCACAACATCCTGTTATGCCTTTTCCGGGTCTGCAGGCTTTGTTTTCGCTGGGCACTTGGCACGTGGGTTTAATTGCAGCCCGGATCCCTTGGTGACTGTTCGATGCAGGTTTGGGGCAGTCTCACCGACTACTGGTCTTATATTGTTACCGTGACATCGTGATCCTACTGCCCTGTGATAAATACAAACCACTGTACAAGCCGGAACAGATGTGTGTATATCATCAGAATAAAGTCATCCATTCCGCGCGGCATATTCAGCCATGGGGACAGCGTCTACAGATGCAAACATCCCGCTTTGCAACGCGGTGCAACACGTCGCCTTCGATGATGGTGATGATTCGGGGCTTTGGGGTGCATCGACTGCTGTAGGTCATGCAGCGCCCAAATATGTCGCCTTCAGAGTCTGGCCAGGCCGCCGATGTGAATGCAGTGATGTTGGGCGCACGGGCGCGACGCGGGGAAGCGGTAGATAATCTAGTGACTGGACCCGTTGAACTACAGGAGGGATGCGTGCTACGTGTAGAGTGCAGTCTGCTAACACTGCTGCGCCGGACGGCAGAGGACCGTTTATAAAGTGTTCTCTCGCTGCTGTCAGTTTTGGTTATCCGCTGCGTCATACGGCAGCTGATGATCCCCCAGTATATCTGATCAGTGTGCCACTGGGGCGAATAATGGATGATGCGAATGCGTAAGGGTTTTGTGCATTCCCCAAAATGTGTGCTGTTGTTTTTACCCTTTTTTGTTCCAGAAGGCAGTTGTTCAACCAAGCCAAATTCTTGCTGCCTTAGGCAGCAGCTGTTCCTCCTGAAACCGTTGTCGCAGTGAAAATAACAATACTGCGTGCTCATATGCCCTGGTCAGTTCCAAGGATGCGCCTCCATAGGGTTATAAGTACGGCGGAAAGGGCAAACTCTTGGCAAACCAAAACATGCTAAATAAAATAGCGCATCGTGTGACAGTTTTATGTGCGTTTTATTTCAGTAAAATGTTTCGGTAGACTAATGCAATTAACATGCCAGAGTTGCGCCACCAGCCAACAACGGCTGCTGCGTGCTTGCTGAGCGCGGTGATCTCAAGTGCTGGTCACGTGCTTGACGCCAATGCGCTCCCGCCTAATTGTCATCCCGTGGCGCTGCGTGATACCCGTGATCACCTCGTCTTCCGCGGAGGCTTTGGAGCGGGCTGTTTGAAGGCTTAAATTACTTCAAAGGCTGCGCTGCTGTTTGAAATGCCGTGGTAGCGAACTGCTGTTTCAGACATGCCACGCTGACTTCGCTGTGTCGTCTTGAATGTCCTGCTGTGCTTTAAACGTGCAATGCTACTTTGCAGCGTGTCTGTTCAGGGCACGATTTCTCCAAACGTGTCGCGAGGCCTTCACTGCTGTGCTTAACGTAAAGGGGCTCAGCTCATGCTGGTCGTTACTGCAGCCAGCCTGCCAATAGCACCCACTTCCAGCTACCCCTGTTTCCCTCCGCTGTCTTCCCTTCCCTGGCCAGTCCATTCCCCGCATCGTGCTCTCTGCCTGCGCTCAGCATGGCTTGCACGCCGCCATGCCGTCGTTCACCCCCCCCCCCCCCGAAAAAGAAACAGTCGTCAGCACCTGAATATAGCTTGTATTGCAGCACTCACACTCACGTAACAACTCCGCGCGGCTCCTAACACTGCAGGCGGCTACTGCCCGGTACATTGAGCGAGACCTGCCACCTGTCGGCACGATCCAGAACGAGCAGACGCAGCGGCGGGGGCAACTTCACCGCCAAATGCGCACAACTGCCCTAATGTCCCACGTCGGGACCCGCCCACGACAACAAGGATATACTTATATCTGTATAGATCCACACGATGCGCTCGGCGACAAGGCAGAAGCACACGCGCGCGCGCACGTTCACATGGGCGATGCAGGGTGATCCAGCACGGGTGGCGCGATTTGGATAGGGTGATCTGTGGTAGCGAGTGTTGCGGTGACATGGATTTGAAGTGACGCCGAGGTACGTACGGATCTGGTTAGAGTGATGTGTAAGTAATGTCAACAGTCTGAGACTGGGGACAGGAGAGGGGTTGGCTGGCACGGATGGTATATACTTCTGCGGACGTCTGGGCGCAGCACCGTCTTCCTCTGGAAATCCGCTATCGCCTCGGGGATTTAGCTGCGACTCCGGCAGTATTCAACAGGTAGTACCGCCCGCAAGAAGCAAGCTTGCGCACATAAACGCGCACGTTCGTGGAGGCAATACAGCCACCAGCAGCTTAAGGCAACAACACAGCAAGACAAGCATTTTCTCGCACGGCGCGGCGCTGTTTGGCTTGGTCAGGCGAGAGCAGCGCTACCAAGAGCTCATCCGCTACCGACCCGCGTCATTGCGGCAGCAGTTTCCAGTCCTCGACCGTTTGCCGGGGGTGCGGTGACGCTGCCAGCGACCGAGGCTCTGCTGGCGGGGCAGAGGCGAACGTGGAGAGACGGGACCTGACATGCCGACTCCCACCCTGCGTTCGGAGTCAAGGAGCTTGGCTTTTTGGGCGACGACGGCCGTCGCTGTATCGCTCACGGAGCCTGAACACTTCCGCTCACCTGGGGTCGTCGCGCTCCGGCTAGACGCTGTCCTGGCCGGCTCGGCCGTGCTCTTCCCTCGGATCATATTTGTTCGGATCGGATCAGCGCCTCGCGGCCCGCCTCGGCCAGGCTCGACTCGTTCAGACTCGACGCGTCCGGCTCGGCCCTGCTCTTCCCGACTCGGCCCTGCTCTTCCCGGCTCGGCCCTGCTCTTCCCGGCCCTGCTCTTCCCGGCAGGCCTCGCTCCAGCCGGCGCCAGCCTCGCCAGCCCATCCCGCCGCCTAGCCGAGCCGGACTTCCGACGCATTGGGCGCGAGGCCGTTTTCTGGAGCGGAACGCCGCGGTGCGCGGCGTCGGCCGGTGTCCTGACCCCGGGCCGGTAGCCTCAGCGGGACTGCTGGTCCGGCTGTCCGGGACTGGCCTGTGCCGGTCGCGGCTCCGTCCACCCCCGGCCCGCTGAGGTGGGTCACGCCCGCGCCGGCGGGCACGGCCGAGTCGGCCGGCCGCGCGGCGGCACCAGAAGAGAGCCTAGAGGCAGAGTTGTGCCGTGATTCGGACTGGTAAACGGTCGGCGTGGCCTACGCTAGCGTCGCGGCGGAGGCTTTCAGTCGTTGGGCTCAGTGCGTGGTCGCATCTGTCCAAGTCGATAGGAAGCCGCACCCAAGCATCTGGTTACGCCCGGCACACTTGGAGCAAAGCCGTGACGACCTCGGCCACAGGCCAACCGGACATCGGAGTCTCCTGACCGCCATCGCGGGGCGAGGTGAGCCCGCAGTTGTCATGTCAGTGGTGAGACAACGACGGCTGTCCGAGCAGAGAGCGGATATCTGCCCGTGATCGCTCACGTCAGGTCCGGGGCAGAACGGTTCTCCGTCCGCCGTCGTCCGGTCGGAAAAAGGGCGCCGCCCGCCCACGCTCGCGGTCGGCCGGGTCAGGGCAGGGCGCGTCCGGAGCGGTCACGTGACGATCACGTGACGGCCGCGTTGCCGCCGGCCGATCGCGTGAGCGCCGCTGCCGGATGCGCTAACCCAGATCGGCGCGCGCCGCCGCCGTCGGTCCGAGCCGCGGCCGCCGGCCGCAGGCGCGCCCGCCGGCGGCGGCGCGCCACGCCTCTGATCGGGCCCGCGCGCGTCGGAGATGGCCTCGGCGTGACGGGCCCGAGGCTTTCGGCCGGGCGGAATGTCGGGCGGGTGTGTCGGGGCGTGTCGGGAGGTCTGGGCACCGCCGGAGGGCAGTGCCAGAGGCGGGCGTGGGTTGGAGCTGCTGGTCAGAGGCGAGGGAGGAGAGAGCGTGCAATCTGCGTGAATAACGGTGCAATGCGTCGGAAAGCAGACCAGTCGGCGTTTGCGGTCGCAAGGTGCGTGACGTCATAGGATGACGACGTAACGCATGTCCGGCGCGTGGTACCTCCGGCCGGAGAACCGGCAGGTACTTCCGAGTGCGAAGGGCACACGAGTATGGCGCTTGCATTTGGACCGTTGCAAGCACACGCACACACACGCGTACACACAGACTCATGCAAATACACAGTTCAAATGTTCTGCTTGCCCACACCCGATAGCGAATCTCGCCGGCCACAGTGCAAGACAGTGGCGCCGCCCTGGCGGCGCCGTTCACAACTAGCTAGTAGTCCCGTCTGCCCGATCCGGCACCTTAGCCTCTGAGCAGCAGCGTCTGCGCCTCTGACCCTGTCTCGTCAGCAGTCTGTCCACCGTCCAGTGGTCACCAGTCTGTCCGTCTGGTATGCTGCGCGGCGCAGACTCTCGCCTCGCGCTGCGCCGCGGTCGATCCCGCGGTCGCGTTGTCCACGGTCTGTGAGTTCGCGGTGCCGGGACGAGCTCACCGGAGCGCGACACTGTTCGTGGTGAGCACGGCACTGTTCGTGGTGAGCACGACACTGTTCGCGGTGAGCACGACACCGTTCGGGGTGAGCACGACTGGGACCACTGTCGGTACGGCGCTGCTTACTGTGGGCGCGATCCCGCTCGAGTGAGCTCAGCGCCGCTCACCGTGGGCGCCCGGTGAGCTCACTGCGACGTGAGTTCGCGACGCGCCCGGTGAGCTCGACTCCGCTCACCGCCCAGCCGTCTGTCCGTCCACCCAGTCCCGCAGGAAGGCCAGGTTCTCCTGGCCGATGTTCTCGCGCGCCCACTCGATCTCCTCGGCGAAGATCAGCTCGAATGCCGCCGGGTCAAAGGCCGGAGCCTGGCGGCCCATCTCACGAGCGCGCACCACCGTCGTGCCGAAGTTGATGAGGTAGGTGGCGAGCTTGAGGCCGGAGCCGATCACCTTGCCGACGTAGTAGGGCCGGTTGAAGCCGTCGTCGTTTTTCTCGGAGTAGCTGAAGCCCTGCGGCCGCGGCGGCTGCGGCCGGCCGCTGAGCATGCTGGTGAAGGTAGTGACGAGGCCGCCAAGGCCGCCGCCGCCGTCCGCCAGCTGGCCGCTGAAGAGGTCCGACTTCTCCAGCGCTGGTGCCACGGCGTTGATGACGTTCATGATGACGGGCGTGGCCTGTCCGAGCACCGGCATCACCGACTGGATGAAGCCCATGTAGTTGCCCTGCTGCACGTGCGACATCGCGTCGCCCAGGTGACTCATCATGGACGGACCGTCGCTCTTTACCAGCTGCACCACGCTGCCAAACAGCTGGTTGATGTTGATCTTTGGCGGCGGCGGCGCCGTCGACACGTCCGTGTTGTAGTAGTAGGGCACCGGTGGGCGGCCGGGCCGCTGGGGCCCGTCCACCTTGTCCACCGCGTACGGCCGGTTGTAGAAGGGGTACGGCCGTGAGGTGGTGTGGTAGCGAGTGCTGTAGCGGTACGGCGAGGTGGCGTGGTACGCCTCCGTTGTGTGGTATGGTGAGCTTGCGTACGATGGCGGCGGTGACGGCAGCGGCCGCCGCGGCGGGTAGTACGGTCGTGGCGGCGGCGGCGGAGTAGGCGGTGACGGCGGCGGCGGCGGCGGCTTCGTCTGCGCCTGCGGCCGAGACGCGCTCGGCGCCTGATCGGCGCCGGCGCTGGAGCCAGCGCCGGCGCCGATGCCGTTCCCGCTCCCGCTGAACATCTGACTGAAGATGTGGAAGCCGGTGTCGAACTTCTCCACCTCCTCGTCGGCCGGCGTCGTGGGACGCTGCGTCGTCGTAGTTGTGGTCGTCGTAGTCGTGGTCGTCTTGGTCGTCGTCGGCTTCTTCTGACCGGGCGATGGGCGCGGCCGCGGCCTCGCCAAGATGCCCAGCAGGTGCGAGAGGAAGTTGGTGGGCCTGCGCGTGGTCGTCGTCGCGCCTGCCGCCGCTGCTGCCTTCGTCGTCGTCGTCGTCGCGGGCGTCGTCGTCTTCCGCTTGGTCGTCGGCGCCGTAGTGGCCTCGGTGGTGACGGCGGGGCGGCGGGTGGTGCGTCGCCGCAGCAGCGCGGCAAACGGACTGGCGGCCGGCGCGCCGCCCGAGCCCTCCGCCGCGCCGAACAGCGACGCCGGCAGCGACAGGTTGTCGGGGCTGTCGTCGACGGTGGGTGGCGCCATCAGGGCGCCGAGCAGCGCTGAGAAGTCCGGCCGCCGCTGCCCGCCGCCGGACGACGGCCCGCGCAGGATCTGCTGCAGCAGGCTCTTGCTCGGCGACTGCGAGTAAGAGGAGGGGCGTGGCGCGGCGGCAGCCTCTTCACCCTTCGTCGATCCCGTTGTCGTGGTCGTCGACTTCCTCGTCGTCGGTGCTTTCGTCGTCGTGGTCGTCGTGGTCGTCGTTGTCGTCGTCGTAGTGCGCTTGCGTGCGATCTCGTGATAAAAGCTCTCACCGAGCAGCAGCGGCTGCCCGGTCGACGGGCCCGTGGTCGTCACGCGTTCGGTTGTCACCACGCCCGGCGCCCAGAACGGGTACGGCCTGGGCGAGGCCGCTGCGTCGTAGTCGTAGTCGTACTCACTGTAGCCGGCCGGCGCGGCGTAGCCGGCCGCCGGCACGTAGACGCGGCGTGTGGCTGCCGTGGCCACAACGCCGGGCGACCACTTGGCGGCGTCGCGGTGCGCCGCCACCGGCCGCCAGTTGTTGCTCGTGTCGACGTGCTGGTTCCAGGGGAAGACGCTCGCTTCGCGCGCCTGACACCTAGCGGCGGGCAGGAGAACCAGCGCCGCGGCCAGCACCAGCCACTGGCCGCCTGACCTGGAAGCGGGGCAGGCGTGTCAGCACGGCACTACGACTCGCGCCCCCACGCCGGTCGACGAAAGAGAAACTGGTGCCGCGCCGCCTGGGAGTGTCTGGCGACGCGGGAGGAAAGCGGGGGCCGGCAGGCCGCGTCCGCCGCGGGAGCCAAGCATCCGGCGGCTCCCTGACAGTGGACGCCGTTGTGCGGCAGCTGGACGCCGGCTGGGACAGGATCGTGCTGAGCTGTCATGAAAGCTAGCCTGTGTGGTACAGCTACTCGTCGGCGACTTTGACGGCACTATGCGACTCCAGTGACACTTCAACGACAGTGTGGACGGAGAGGCGCTGGGTGGTCTGGCGGTGCGTGCCGCGCTGTCGTACTGTCGCAATGTCGTACTGTCGTGGGACGTCAGCTTGACATGTCGCACACGGTGTGGTGAAGGCATGTGATATTTGTGTAATGCCGTGACACAATAAAAGTATGACAGGTTTGTAGTGCCAAAAATGGCGCATGATACACATGCACATCAAGCGACCTTCAGCATAAAAAACAGCCTGGCATATAAAAGGTCATGCAGTGTCATCGCATATCCATGTGATGAACGCCAAAACACAAGCGGCTCATTGCTTGTTTTGGCAAAATGCTGCAGTCGGGCTGAAAGAAAAGCCTCGTTTTATCGTGCGTTTGCCAAGGAAGCTCCACTTGACACGCTAATTATTCAATTTGTCTTTTGTTTCTCCTGAGCTCATGACTCAATGACGGGCGCTTAACATACAACTACGCGCAAACTCTCTTAATTGTCATGAATACACCACACTGCATAGAGTCGGAACGCATTCGTTGAGTAGCTGTCATCACACATGGAAATTGAGAAGGGCTGTTCCATTCAGAAGCAGGCAGCCTAACCAAACATTGGTTGAACTGTCAACAATGGTTTGTCATCCGATAGCGGTAATGTGCGACGAGACGGACATATCCCTTCCAGAAGTTGCATGTGCTGTTCGTCGAAACCCAGCGTGAAAAGCTTCTAGTAGCGCGTGCGTAAATTTGGGCTGTCTCGTATGATGTGAAGGTGTGGGTGTGTAATGCGTAATACATTAGTTGGCATGTATGCTGTATACTGCAGTTGGCTGTACGCTGCTGAAGAACGAGATGCGAGTGACCACTGTACAAACCATCTGTTTTTTGATTAAATGATCTATTAAATAATAAAACTGCCAAACAGAAAACTTTAAATAAGACAGCTAAAAACTGAGCTAAATTATTACAGCGTGTCATGATCTCAACCCTAGACACGGAAATTTTATTCCGGTTACCACCATTTCATCTAGGGTCTTTCTCACCGTGCACAGCGTGGCTTCCCGCCCTTCTTGCAAACCTATCAAACGGGCATCTCCGGGCGCAAAAGTTGCCAGGTTTTTGCAAACTGGCACGTGCTTTTCCTGAACTATTCGACCTCGCAAAGATACCCATCGTCTTGGCGAGTGTCTAAGTGCTTAACTGTTGACATAAGACGATGTTCACCGGCCCGAAATTCACAGGAGTTTCTTCAGGCTGTCTCCAAGCTCCCACGAAACAAAGCCGCTGTGTTTCATGTGAATATCAGTTGGGCATTAAAAGGCAAATCGGCGTGGGAAAATCGCTCGTAAACATCCACTCACCCTGACGAGGGCTCAGACGACGAAATCACGGCAGCGCACCAGGTGATTGTGATCACCTTTTGAAGCACATCTGGTTTTACGCTCCTCATGGGAGCTACTCAAGGGACTATCAGGGTGGAATTAGCCAAATGATAGATGTGCGTGTGACTCCCATTCACACAAACATCCCACACTTCACCTGCCGGACCTGAGCGCACTCGCTGAGCGCTTCCCTCAAAGGCAGCGGCATGCCAACATAGGAAAGCAAGAAACACGAGCAATCATTAGTGTTACAGATTGTGTGTTTTCTGCATAGGACTTCGTTACATCGTCATTTGAAGCCGGTGACATAATGTAACGACGCTATTATCGCTCGTGACTCCGGCATTAGCTGCACTGCCGGCATTAGCAGCTGCATTAGCTGCGCGCACACGCCTGCCGCGGTGTTCATTGTTAGTCGGCGGCCGGGCCTCGACCGGGAGTGGCGGGCGCTGGGGCGCGTAATGGCCGCGTTATCGCGCACTGCCTCTGACACGCACCCGAGCCGTGAAATGGACGTGCTCACCACGGGAGGACCTCCTCGAGGGGCCGCCGGCCGCGCCGGCCGCGTCGCTCCGACGCGCCGGCCGCGATCCGCCGGGTCTGCTACCTGACTTGTCAAGTGTGGCAGCAGAATGGCCGGCCAAAGCGGCCGCTCGCGGGGAAGCCGATTGTTCTGGAGTTCGCCGCGACGTGGAACGAAGCCATCTCGACGGTGATTGGTGCGGCTCTTCGCGTAAAGAAGCGGTGTTTACAAACTTGGACGTGGAGATCGGCGACTGCCGGAGATTTGGAGTCCGTTTTCACTGTGAGTGGGCCGCTTTTGACTGTGCTGTTTTAGCTGGATGCAAGGCTTTGGAGAACGCTCAGTCATCCGTGACGACTACATTCTAGGGCAGAGTCGTGTCCCAGAACGGTCATCACGGTTACAGTGGTCACTTCACTGGTATTCCCGATGGCAGAGCAGACACTGATAACTACGATTGATAGCACATTAGTGGATGGGAACGCGATCACCGGCATGCACAACTTCTGCCGTCTATAGAATGTTTTATTCAGCTGTGCTGTGGCCTGTTACGCAGCCAATGTAGGCGAAGCACACAGCACGGCTTTATCACAGTGGTTGGAGAGACAGGTGCGGGAAATGCCCGCGCTTCTTCTTAGAAATCATCGTCGGCAAATAACATCATCCGCCCTCCGCCGGCCTAATGAACTGCAGCTTGCAAGGCCCGCATGACTGACTGTCAGCCACGCCGTCTGACATATGACACAGGTCAGGAATGACGACATTCTTGCGTTAGCCTCGCGGCGACACACAGCGGCCAGCGTAGCCATACCCGCGGCCACAGCAGGGTAACGGCGCAGAAAAGGTCATACGCCACGACGACACAGAGGGCGTTCTCATATTAAGCCGCAGCAACCTGGAACCGCCTGCCATCGTGTGTCCGCCATGTCACAACACTGAGCGCGTCTAAGACCGCCACACGCGATGTGGCTTTAACCACTGACAACTGGTTTCATCCGGCCCGTAGTGCGTTGATATGCCTGTTTTGGATATTTGATTATTGTTCCTATCATCATCGTATACGTTTTGTGTGTGCCTTTTCGTACTGCACCTGTGTGGCCTGAAACCGTAACAGCCACGATGTGGATGGTTTCTAATATAGTGATACTGATACTGATACTGATACTGACTGGGGCGGCAGGTGGGACGGCTAGGGGCGCAACTGGGGCCTCACTCTGGGCAGCTGGGGCGGCCTCAACTAGGGAGTAACCGACGCGGCATTCGTGCGCCGATCAGCACGCAGGCACGCCCCTCCCCAGACCGATGTGCCCGGCCGGGACCAGAGCGCCGTCCTGACCGAGGGAAAAGCGGCGAACTGCGTCCAGGCGCGCCGTCGCTTCAGCTGCGAACCACCGGCCGGCCGGCGAAAGTGTTGGCGAGCCGCGGGCCCGCCGGCTGCGGCACGCGCGGCATCCGCCGACGGCGGGGCCTCTCCCGGCAGGGCCTCTCCTGGCCGCGCCTCGCCGTGGTCGGACGGTCCCCGGCGCTGGCGGAGGCCCGGTCGGGGGCTGCACGCGGCGGAAGACCAGGTAGTTCTGGGATCAGAGCGGTGCTCCCAGCCTAAGAGGTGCGAGGGAACGACCCGCGAGCGGTGTGGTGGTGGAGGAAGCAGGGAAGGAGATGGGCGACGGGTCTGAGACGACGGGGAGGGGAGAAATGTCGTAGGCTTGCAAAATAAGTTGCGCGGTGATGAGCAGGTGAAAAATGACGAAACCTGCACTCAAAATGCGACAACAAACGAATTTCTCTCCGGATCTGGCCCACTTTCTTCTCGAAGTTTCGGAGGGGAGGGGGAGGGCTGGAGCCCCCACCTGAATGGAAGCTGCACCCCCGCGGAGGAGACAACAGAAACTTAAGATTTAGCGGCAGCAGATGGCTCGGGAGATGATGGGGACAGGAGGAACAACGGAGACGGGCAAGGCAGCGGAAGCGGCCGCAAATCAAAGGCAGTGGGCGGGGGGACGGGTGTGACGGTCAGCGCAGAGGGCCCTTGCCCCCAGACCCTTGCCTTCACCGCCCCGCCAGTAACGCTCGTCACTGCGCCGAACTGCGCGGCCGTCTGCGTCACGCACCCAGATTTGGCCACTTCCCGGTGGGCAGGAGAGCTCGACTCTGACAGCCTGGCTCGTTAGCGGTGCCGTCCGCGTCGCCTGGGTGCGGGGGAGAGGTGCGCCGCGGCGACCAGCGACCGGCACGGCTAGCTTCTGTTAGCTTGGGTCGGGTCAGGTGCAGTGCAGTGCGTGGAGCAGCCCTGGCGACCCGGCGCGCCATCGCTTGTCCGATGTCGACGATGTGACGACGATGCCCCCCCCCCCGCAACTTAATATAGGGTTTTGTTCAGCGATGAGTGGTATGCCAACTGAGCAAAGTAACTACAGCGCAGCGTGCATTGTTAGACCCGGAGGCTCAGCCAAAAGATTTGCACCTGTGTTTCTCAAGGGTCGTCTACGATAACCCACTGCAATGCAAAACGTCACCGATCAAGTCGTGTGGGCCATTGCTCGTTACACCGTCCCAGGTCATCGACGTTCCTTTCTCACCGTTGATAAGCTGACCCCGGCGTGCAGCTGAGACCGGCCACTCCCAGGCGTCCAGGCCCTCCCACCGCGCGCCTGTCATGTCCGTCCCAGGAACCGCGCTGTCTGGATCCCAGCGCCCCACCGCACGGGTTCGTGCAGTTAATTAAAACCCGCGGAAACATTAGAAGACGCGATGGGCTATCTGGCGCGCGTAACTGGTGGTTACGGGCGATAAAACCCCGGCTCGGCGGGGG